AAATACCACGGGAGGCTCTTGGCTAGTCTTCGAACTCATAATAGGACTAAAATAAGGAAAATTGGAAAAAAATTATGGCCTAACCCTAACCTGTTACCCATGTTACGTTCCCATGTCCGCCATCTTGATTCGCATACTTTGGGAGCACTAGTGAAATAATAAGCCTCGTGCTAAAACTAAGTTTAATTGCAATATCAACAAATTTCTTAAAATAATTATTAGCTGAAACATCAAAATTTGGTTTTACTTTGGCTGTGACAGCATCAGGCGGGCCAAATTGAATTACCCAACTGGCCGGATTTGGCCCGCGGGCCGTAGTTTGCCCACCCCTGGTCTATATGGTACTTCTGAAATATGCGAACCAAAATGGCGGGCACTGGAACGTAGTATGTGTACTAGGCTAGAGTTAGGCCATAATTTTATTTCAATTTTTTTTATATTTTGGTTCTATTACGAGTTCGGGGACTAGCCAAGTGACTCCAGTAGTATTTGTAGCTAAAATTATGGCCTAACCCTATCCTGGTACACATACTACGTTCCGGTGTCCGCCATCTTGGTACGCATACTTCAGGAGTTCCGTCTATATGGCAGCCCAACGACCACTACAGAAGAGGCCGTTCAAAAGGCGATTGGGACCATAAATTTATCACTAACCTGTTGTTCATATGGTAGCTCAATGGCCATTGCAGAAGAGCCATTCAAATGGCGACCATATATCTATACCAAGCCTGCTGTGTATGTGGAAGCCGAATAGTCACTACAGATGAGGCCATGGAATCGATAATTGGGACTACCGGTATATATTTCTTCATTTCCAAACATAATGTCTATATAACATAGTTAGGGCCATTGTGTTTCTGTTTGAAAATAAGCAAGCACACTCGTTAGCGTTCTAAATCTAAGTTTAAGTTTTGCTCGCCTTCTTGGTTATTCAGTCTCTTTTTGTGGCATCGCCCTTGTTCTCTTCTGTGAAGACAGGGCGATCAATTTAAACTATCTTTATTCATTTAGTTACCATTGTATGCGCAAGTCTCACGAGGTGGCGAGTACACCGATGATCAGCCTCAGTTCAATGGCCCATTAGCGAACTCTAGCGGCATTTATTTTTGTTGTCAAATAAGTTGCAGAATAAGATTTACAAGAGAGCGGTGCAAGACATTCAGGCTAGGATAAGAATTTTATACTTTCTCGGGAATATGAAAGTTGATAGTCATATGGCGTACCCCGGCCTCTCATTGTGTTACAAGTCTGTGTCAATTATGCAATGGGGCCAATATGCAATTATCCAGCGCGGCGGTGTGGCTCAACGGGCTAAGCGTTAGGAATACGCTCGCCACCGCACCTCTAATTACTCTGCGTGGGTTCGCAGGTTCGAATCCGATGCAGGGATGGTTATGTGCGAGAGGATTGCTGGACTCCTTGCCGTCGTTGGGTGGTTCACGTAACCGCTGGTCGGTTACGGCTTCCTCCACCACCAAGTCCATGCTTCCGAAAACAAAAAATATAACTAATCCCATACCCGACTTGGAATAGTAACCGGACGAGAGGCCGTGGTTCGCCATATGGATAAGCCGTCTTATCGGTTTTCTCTCCCCGGGATAAATATGTAAATCCTATCCTATCCAATAATGGCGCCCATAGCAAAGTTTAATTTTTTTTATAAATTCAGGAAAAGTACTAATTTCGGTACTCACGTAGTATGTGAACCAAAATGGCGGACACCGGAACGTAGTATGTGTACCAGAATGGGCCATAATTTCAGGTACACATACTACGGAAGTCACTTGGCTAGTCCCCGAACTCGTAATTGAACTAAAATAAGGAAGATTAGAATAAAATTATGTCCTAACCTGGTACACATACTACGTTCCGGTATCCGCCATCTTGGTGCACATACTACGGGAGCGCCCTAATTTCAATTATTTCTAATTTTGCTGAAAATAAAGTCGACTCATGTTCTTCAAATGTTTTCGGTGGGCGGGCGCGTTTTTTAACTTTGTTTTATGCTCGTCCTCCAGTTCCTCTGCATTCTGTTTGACCATTTGTTATATGTCAGTGTGCCCAAAATAAAATTGATTGGTTTACATCATTTTGAGACATTTTACGATTGAAACATTTGCCCTTTTTGCTCTCTATCCAAACGGACCCATGGCTGCCATACCACAGATACGCCACTGTGGTTCATTTGATTTGTAAGCCAGTTATTTGTTTCAGATATATGGGTCACTCAACCAATATATGGGATTTACAACTCACGATCCGTTGAAACATACAGCAGAAGTATGCTGTCGTATCACGCGCGAACCACGGCCTCTCGTCCGGTTACCAGTCCATGTCGGGTATGGGATTAGTTAGCCGGTTATTGGTTTTCAGAAGCTTGGACTTGATGGTGAAGGAAGCCGCAACGGAACAGCGGTTAACCCAGCCTACGGTGGAGAGTCCAGCAATCTTCTCTCACACAATTTTCCTTGCATGGGATTCGAACCTGCGAACCCAAGCAGGGTAATCAGGGATGCGGTGGTGAGTGTATACCTAACACTTGGCTTGATGCAACGCACCGCCGAGCCAGTTTGGCATTGTCTCCCAACCTAGTTCGCAAATATCTGATTGACATAAAATCCAGAATCTAAATAAGCACAAAAACTTGTCAAAGGATTTATTACCTCAAATGATCACCAGATTTGCCCCACCAATACGTGATAAAGTAAATTAATAATGACTTATAATAGTATATATGGCTTATTTTGTGAGAATATCATCGCTGAATAGCAAGCAGAAAGTGGTGAAAGAAGGAATGGAAAACTGGGGCAGCTGAATGAAAGCACATTTGGACAATTTTTAACTGGAACGAAAAAGGCTGGCAAATTGATGAATTCAAATAATCAGGCTGTTTTTTGATTTATGCTACAACAACTCTGCAGTGAGTGCATATGAATTCGCTAACACTGCATTTCCCACTCTGGGTGGGAGAGGGTTAAATTTCACGAACAAGAAATTAACACTTTCCTCTGCATTTACCTGAAATTCTAAAAATGATTATTCTTAAAGAAAAGGCATACAACGAATTGATGAAAAAATGTAGCCATGTTAACATGTGGTAAAATTGGTGGTTCTTGTAAGGTTTTTGGCGCTCCAGAAGTATGTGCACCAAGATGGCGCACAACCTGAACCCCATCCTGGTACACATACTATGTTCAGGTTGTGCAACATCTTGGTGCACATACATCTCCATTACAAGACAATACACCTTCTAGTACTCTGTATGTTAATTCAGGGCTTACAGAGAAATATTATGTTCGAAGAAAATCATATTATAATTGCTAATGAAGATCGCTATATAAAAAATTGACAATTCAAAAAAGGTAGTCCTGTTTTATGTCTCAAATTCGATGACGCACAAAACAAAAAAATGAGCTAATCAAAAAATAATTATAATCTCATTAGAGCCATATAAAGGTGGTACAAGTTGAAATATTATGTATTATGCAATGTTTGGGGGGGGGGGAGGGGGAAGTCCCTAGACCAGGGAAGGCCAAACTATGGCATGAGAACTACCCGGAGTTACATCGAATTACCCATATTGAGGCAAGTATACCTGTTGGTCGAGTTTGAGCCTTTTCATTCGAATTGTTCATGTCACTTCGAGTCTTTGATACACAATGACTCAAGTTCGAGACAAGCCGAGCCTCACAGCACTGTCATACAATGCTAAATATGTATGTACTTGCAGAAGATCGCGTATCAAAAAGTTTAGGAATCTCTAATATAAATAATTCCTAATGCATTCAAATATGAAAACTGCTTTGAACCCTCAGCTCAATTGTGCTGTCAGCTTAGCAGAAGAGCAAGAATCCATTCCAAAAGTAAAAGAAAGTTTGAATTTAAATATTATGAATTCTTCCAAAGCTAGTGACTTTGAACACTTATATGACCTATACTCAGTAACTTTTTTCACAATGTTTTATCTTTTCTGGCTTTGCATACCAGATGACAGTTTGTCAATGTTTCAAATGTGACAAAATTTCTATTTGGCAGAAAAAGCAGCAAAAGAATGCTTAGAACCCTGACATTACAACAAAAATCTAAATATAGTCAGAAACTTGCATGTGATATGAGGGACCTATACAGAAAAATCAAATGAAAATTGTCTGCTATTTTCATATCAAGCGCTCAAAATGTTAAGTTTTCAAATGAAAATATATGTTTTCTCAATTTTAACATTTTGCTGTAATATATTGAATTTAAATAATCAATTAGTTTTAGGTATGCTCACTGGAAGGTTAGCATTGAAGCTGAAGAAGAAACTGTTAGAATAAGAAAGATTCTAATCATTTCAGGGTGCTCCCGAAGTATGTGAACCAAGATGGCGGACATCGGAACGTAACATGGGTAACAGGTTAGGCGATAATTTTTTTCCAATTTACCTTATTTTAGTCCTATTATCAGTTCGAAGACTAGCCAAGAGCCTCCCGTAGTATTTATAGCTAAAATTATGGCCTAACCCTAACCTAGTACACATATTACATTCCGATGTCCGTCATCTTGGTTCGCATACTTCGGGAGCCCCCATTTCAGAGACTTTGTACACTTGTGTAACTTATTATACAATACTATGAATGAAGTTTCATCATTTCTGACTTTGCACCAGATGACAAGTTTATCAAAGGTCCAAATTAGACAAATGAAGTTTCTAATCCGGACAAATCAGAAAAAATTCTTTGAAATCGTTGAGTGCAGTTTTGGGTCTATCTTCGTTACTAGATTGACTGTTTTTAAAGAAACGCTTTTCACACACATGAAATTTAATATGGGAAATCCAGAAACTCCACACCCAAATGACTACAGCGCAACGAAAACAAGTTTGGTACTCCTGAAGTATGCGCACCAAGATGTCGCACAACCTGAACCTTAATCTGGTACACACAACCTGAGTTCAGGTTGTGCGCCATGTTGTGCGCATACTTCGGAAGGTCCACACTTTTTATACAACCAAGTTTTATACAACCAACAGAGTTTGGCTTTGCATACCCAGATGATAGCTAGCCAAGGGTGACACAATTTGATGCATTATGTTCCGTAGATATACTCAAGTAAATTACGCAAGTCCAATAAAAAGGTTCTGGATTTCAGTAGTTCCCAAAGTTGATTGACAGCGGGCCAAAATTAGAAAAGGAAGGATATTCGCGGGACAGGGAGCGCCTGTAGATAATGATGTAACGATTGCAGTATCTAGTACGCAAAAAGAAAAAAAACATTTGTTAAACTATTTCACTTATATTCAGCTGGCCATATTTGATCGTTACGTGGGTCGTAAATGAATACCCTGAGATCGCCACTGTATTGAATATTTCATCGACTCCACTATCCCGATATTGAATATTAAATAGACAAAAAACTGGAATTACTGGAAAAATGCATAGTTATTAAATTTGGTGCTCCGGAAGTATGTGTACCAAAATGACGCACAATCTGAATCCTAACCTGGTACACATACTATGTTGAGGTTGTGCGCCATCTTGGTAAATATACTTCGGGAGCACCTTAAATTTGATTCGGTCTCTCCATATAAGTCAGTATCATAATTAATTTATAATCCCTCAAATGATTGCGTCATTAAGAAGCGCTCGAGCATGACTGATTTGCAGATGACAGACTATATGACACCATTGTGATTTCATAAAGCAGAAAAAACAATAATATAATGACGATGAACAACAGCCCCATCATGTGGCGCATTCTTCTCCGCATCCAGCGAGAATCGTTTTCAAGCCTCGATATCTGAAATTATTGAATATTTGTTAGAATGAGCTTGGGGGGGAGAGGAAAGCTGTAAAAAGGTGTAATCATATCACAAGGGGGCAATTATCCTATATAGCAGTGGATTCCAACCTTTTATGGCTTATGGCCCCTTTCCAGAGACTTTTAGCATTCATGGCTCCCCACCAGTGTTCCCTCTAAGGTGTGCGCGTGTGCGCGCGCACACAGCTTTCAGAGGCTGCGCACACGCATAGATTTACTGCGCACATACGTATTTCGATGTAATGTAACAATGTGCTCGGTTGGCAGGTTGAGAAAGTTTGTTGTTGGCCCCCCTATTACCCGGTTAGAACGCCAAAATTTCTTCATTGGTTTTTGCACAAATATTAGTCATTTCCAAAAAAGTGCGCACACACCAAAATTTCTGCGCACACATACTACAAACAATTAGAGGGAACATTGCTCCCCACCATTTCAGCGGTACTTATAGTGTTATTCTGATTGGTAGATTCCAAATTCCATTATTTTCAAACAATTCAGGCTCAGCAAAGTGAAAACACCTGTGAAATACCTTATCAAGTGATGAACTAGGAAGAACGGGGAGGGAGAGTAAAACCAGTTTTGTGCCAAGCATTGTGACCCCTACAACTGCTCTGTGGCGCCCCCCTGGGAGGCCTTGCTTGGGAACCGGTACCGCTGAGGGAAGGATCAAGAGGGAAAAAGCTGTTTTTGTAAAATGAGAGACATATATGCTTTTGATTTTCAGACATCCGTAGTTTTTATCAAATTACTTCAATGAAAATTGCTTCAAAAATTATTGCTATGAAAATATTTCAAAATTTATCATTCATTCACCACTTTAATTAATGATGAGCTAATTTTTCTGAATCTATTGGTGAACTATGACCTCACAACCTTTAACCCTAGAAGTATAATCCACCCTACAATTGAATGACAGTTAGTAAATGAAATTGCCACCACTGTGTTAAGAATAATTTGAAGCAGAAAATTAGTAATTATGGATATTTGGCAAATCACAGGAGATAAACCAGATACATAGTGTTATGATTGTTGATCAATATAGAATAGCACTACTGGATTACATACAGCCGTGGTTCTCAAACTGGGCGTCGAGCGTGGTTTCAATTTTGCTCGGGCGTCGCAACACTTTTTTTCTTTTGTGGATTTGTACCCGCGGTGCGTAAAAAAGTCAAAATTTTCGTTATTCTCATTTTTATCATACTTGAGAACTGGAAATGGCAATATAATAATTATTGTAACGATCATTTTATCTAAGTGTAACCTCTAAAACATTACGAATCATTCAATACTGTTTCAATTATGATATCACACAGGCTGGATCAGATCGAGCCATGAATGTCGTTCATTTCTAATTTTATGAACATGGACACCATCAAGTCCGCGGCAGTTCTCTTCAGGCAAAATTTGAATAAAACTCCAGGCGTTTTTGACGGGGAGTCGCAGCTTGGTCATATTTTTTGAAGGGCGTCGCAATACCAAGAAGTTTGAGAACCACGGACATACAGGGTTAGGATAGGATAGGATTTACATATTTATCCCGGGGGAGAGGAAAGCCGATAAGATGGCTTATCCATATGGCGAACCACGGCCTCTCGTCCCGTTACCATTCCAAGTCGGGTATGGGATTAGTTTTACTGTATTGTTTGTTTTCGGAAGCATGGACTTGGTGGTGGAGGAAGCCGTAACCGACAGCGGTTACGTGAACCACCCAACGACGACGAGGAGTCCAGCAATCCTCTCGCACATAACCATCCCTGCATGGGATTCGAACCTGCGAACCCACGCAGAGTAATTAGAGGTGCGGTGGCGAGCGTATTCCTAACGCTTAGCCCGTTGAGCCACACCGCCGCGCCACCGGGCCGCGCCGGCGGGTTTGTCCAATTTTATAGTAATAACAATTGTGAATTTAAATGAAAAAAATTTTGTATGATAAATGAGAACTACAACCACAATAAAAACTATTATTAAACAAGAACAAAATTTATTTTATTCAAGAGTTTTGCTGCACACTAACACAAATGTATTTTTCTATAACGTTTACCAACGTCAGACTTCTTCAAGAGAAACGTTGCAAAATATACATTTGTGTTAGTGTGCTACAAGACTCTTGAATTGAAAGTAATTTTCACACTTGCTACAGCATCCTCGCAATATCTCCTACGGTACCACCTGCGCAAAGGCATAGAGCAAGAAAAGGTCATTAGTTTCACATAACCCCAACTGTTAATTATATTAAAAAAAAATTTAATTGTTATTACAAAAATATTGGGCGGAATTTTCAGGACATCTCCAAGATGTTTTAGATCCTGCTGCAGTAGTGATCTTGCAGTCAGCGAATACAGAACTTTGATAAATAAGCACACAAGCCCGGGCTCACCAGCCAAAAATCATTCAAGCATAACAGTGCAACAAGGTACAGTTCTCAAGATGAACATAACTTTCCACAGATCACAAGGTAAAATGTATTCTCCAAAACATTCCTACGTGAAAATGGAAAACCCACTCACCAAAGAAAATGTAAGTGAAACCATTCATGCATAATATTACAGGGTACAAATAAAAAAATCTCAATTCACTATGCTAAATTAAAAGCAATACATTCAAGCATAATATTACAGGGTACGAAATGAACAGAATTTCAATTCAGCTCTGCTAAATTAAAGCAATCCCATTCAAGCATAATATTACAGCAGGGCTCAATTCAGCACTACTAAAGTAAACGCAATCCGTTCAAGCATAATATTACAGCAGGGGTAGGCAACCTTTCGTCACTCGCGGGCCAAAATTAAAGGTCGCAAGTCATTGGCGGGCCACACACATTTTTAGAAAGTTAAAAACAGAACGAATGGCCAATGAATCACATTTTTCACACAGATCAGAAGTTAAATTTTAAGCAGCGTGCAAAGATTGACCATTTGAATATTCTCTGCGCCGTTAAACCATTTGCACGTAGCATCAACTTTTTTGTGTTTTGTTGCATTTGTCTAATTATAATTAAATTATTGGCTCATTAAACGAATAATTGTGAATTATATACTTATTAGGTTATAATAGAATTTAGTCTACACGTGTCTCACAATAAATTCTGTTACATTAAGAATTTAATCGTCAAAACAGCTGTTTTGTTCAAATAATGCGGGCTGGATTATATTGCTCTGCGGGTCATAGGTTGCCGGCCCCTGCTATAACACCTATCTACGCACACTGATGACCTTTTCAAACTGTACAAAATCGAAAAGTAACTTGCGCAGAGGATCCATTACAGACCCCTCTAATAAAAGCAATTCATCCAAGCATAATATTACAGGGTAAAAAATGAACCAGAATTTCAATTCAGCTCTGCTAAATTAAAAGCAATCGGCCGTGAAGCGATGAATAAGCAAGCAATTCACCTTGTTAGTGAGCAAACCAATTTGTTGCTGAAGCTGTGATATTTCTGTACCACTAGATGGTGTTTTCTCACCCAATGAATGGAACTGACTTCCGGAGTCTTCGAGAATCACCGAGGCCTGTAAAAATGTAAGCAATGAAGCATGATTCAAGTGGCTGACAAACTTTTTGCAACTCTCCTAAAGTGTCCACGATGAGTTGGGGACTGAAGCGGTAAAATCTTTTTATCATGTTTGGAGAGTTGTTTTGATTTAGTGATCGTATGGTTCTTCTGACCTTCTATTGTTGTTAGTCGTATATTTGGTACTTCCGATTTTCCTCATTTTAGTTCTATTACGAGTTCGGGGAATGTCTGTGTTAGCTAAGTGAATATCCCCCTGCCCATAGGTTTCAGTCCCTTTACACAATTTGATGTGAAGTAGCGAATATTCCACTGCTTTGGTGATTTTGCAAGGTATTTTTTTGTGGTTCTTGGTCGTTTTTCGTGATTTTTCCTTGTTTTTGCAACGTTTTTGGTGGTTTTTTACTGTTTTTGCACAATTCTCATTTTTTTTTTCAAAGAGGGGGGTTTTAAAAGTTCTATCAGTGATCAATACTTTGAATGAGTACAAAAACGGTAATTTCATTAGATAATTTCCTTCAATATCTTTTCCAAATAGCAAACATCTATTCCAAAGTGAAACGGCTTCCTTCACCATCAAGTCCATGCTTCCGAAAACAAATAACAACTAATCCCATACCTGACATGGAATGGTAACCGGATGAGAGGCAGTGATTCTCCGCCTTATTGGCTATTCTCTTCCCCGGGATAGACATGTAAATTCAATCCTATCTCAACTATACATACTAATCATACCTGGGCAGAATCCTTGCTTTGTTGTCTGGTTAGAACTTTGGGGTCGTCAACTTTGACTCTGAGCCTGTGATAAAAGAAAGTGTTTGGATGATATTGGAGTTTTAGGGTTGAGATTTTGCGTTTTTGTGACATTAAAATCAAAGCCACACAAACAAGAGTTTCTAATCCTGTGGTTTTAGGCCTTTTTGGCGACCAGAGTCCCAATGATCATTTTAGATGCTTGAAGAACCCCTGCTCAATAGTTCAATTGTTTCAAGCAATAAACATAATTTGATCAACAACATACAATTGTTTAATTCATAAAATACACAGAAAAAAACCTAATACTGGCAAAACAAAATTGATCTTGAAAGTGTAGCAAGTTTAACAAGTAACGGAAGAAGAGGAAAGCCGATAAGACGACTTAATCATACTATAAACCACGACCTCTCATCCGGTTACAAGTCAAGTCCATGTCGGGTATGGGATTAGTTAGCCAGTTATTTCTTTTCAATAGCACAGACTTGATGACGGCAGCGAGTATTTAAGCAATCCTCTCGCAAATAATGATCTCACACGACATTTAACCTACGAACTCAAACAGTTATCCTTTCCTGAAGATAAATACAAATCTCCATTCCTACCTGTGTTCAAAGTGTGATGACTTGTCACTGTTCTGTTTCCAAAACTTAACAATTTCACCGTGAGTGAGCGACTTTCCATCCTTGACTGGTATCTGCTTGTACAGTAGAAGAAATCTATCCTTCGGCATTGCGGATTCATGACCGGTTTCCAAATAAATTCGAATCTGGATCGATTCACCTTGAAATTGAAGATCAAAAAGGTCATTTGTATGAAAGTCAACAAAAACAAGAGAGTAATTATTGACAAAAAAGTTGTATGTCACAGCTGAGGGTTCCATTACATTTGAACCCACGTACATTTGAACCCATGACAATTGCACCTGCATACTATTGCACCTATAAAAAAATTTTTGTTTTACAGATATTTGAACCCATACTAACCCTAACCCATGGGTTTAAGCACCCGCATATAGATTGAACCCGCGGATATACACAATTGAATTTAATTATGCGTGGGTTCAAATGTATGGTCACCCAGTTGAGCGTTAGATTGGTGGATGTGGCATACATAAAAACTATGTTTTCATTATTTGCTCGATCTTCAAACAATCCTAGTTTCTCACAACTGACACTCAGGCTTTTGTGCAGAGTAAATAGTTCATAATATGTGCATAAATATGTATCACATAATAAATGAGATAGCGATCAGAAACCGCCGACTTATCGATCAAGCGACATGTATCCTTCGCTCTGACTCAATAGCGACACCACATGTCGCATCACTAATTAATTAATACCTCGCTAATTACATAACATAATTCATCCAAAATCAATAGGCATTCTGGTCAGAGATATGATGAATGCACATGCAAAATTCGGAGCAAATCCTCGCTTTCGTGAGAAAGTGTCTAACAGACAGACAGACAGACAGACAAATACCTATCAGCATACGTTACAAGATTGATAACTAAACAATATTGATAAATCTATGACAAATACCAGTAATATTTCTGTATTTCTTCAGCCCAAAAAGCACAAATAATCCCTGGTTGGGAAATATTAGTTTAGACCTGACATTGGCAAACCACGCCTCACAGTTCGTTAGGGTAATTCAAACTGATGCTGCCACATTCAAACTAAAACCACATTTTGACGTTTTAGCTAAAAATAGCTCAAGGAATTTGTTGAGGTTGCAATCAAATTTACTTTTGGCTATTGTAACACTACAAATATTGTTCATAAAATGTAACATTTACGTTACAGTTACATGGCCTGCCAGTCTAGATGGGCAAAATTGGCCCAAGGCCCAAAAACTTTGGCCACCCCTGGTTTAGATGGTAATTTAAACTGGGAAGCCCTGGTTTAGACTATAACATCTAATAATATTCAACCAAAATATACCTGGCGAGACCACTCCAACACTCGGCTTGACATGGTACCTCTCTGGTGACGTAGTTTTGACTTTGTAGGCGACGTACACTCGATCTTCAAAATCAGTGACTGGATTAGGATTTCGAATTCTCATGTAGCCTTCTAAGCGCTCTCCTTCAAGCTTAAAAGTCAGCTCAGATACAGGGCTTAAAATGAGTAAAATAGCTTTTTGAAATCATTTGAAATGCTTAGATGCAAAAATATTATAAAAATCATTATGTTCTTCAAAGTCCAGTACAGTGAATTATTTGTTTTTGGCCGTCCGTGGTATGTATAGTTCTTACGATTTTAGGTGTTTTTTTCGCGTTTTTTGTACGTTTTTTTAAGTTTTTGGTATATTTTCATGGTTTTTGACATCTGATATTTAAAATATTATTTTAAAATCCAGAACAGTGAATTATTTGAGTTCCGCCGTCCCTGGTAAGTCCACTGATAAGGGTTTGAAACAGCTCATTGTGTTGCGTGGTTTACCAAGCTAATATTTGTCTGTTTGTTTTATAGTTTTAACGACTAAATGAATTTCTAATAAACTTCTCTGCTGGGCAAACATTGCAGGTTCTTATCAGATTGTTCGCCCCTCGTTAACATTTTAATGAGCATTGCTGACAATGTAAATTCAACACAGTAAAAGATTTTTATTCAACACTTTTTGTTAAGATAAATAAAAATAGCATTTTCTCTTTCCACAAAATAGAGACTATATTTGTAAGCTTTCGTTGGATCATAGTCAAATTTCTTCAGACACAACAAGATATTACATTCTTCGCTGTTTATTAAGCCATAATATAAAGTCTGAAGTTGGACTACGACACAACTAAATCTCACAAATATACTTGCTATTTCATTGAAAGTGATTATGTTATTCTTTTCCATCATTTATCTTTATAATACTATCTCGTTCAAGCATTTTTGTGGCAATGGTCACATACGGATCCGCAATAGAAAGTAAACAAGGAGAAAGGACGTGCAGTTCAGTACACAATATCCTAGTACACTTATTATTAACGCAGTATAAAAGTATATTTATTAAATGTCCATAACAATACTCAAAGTAACCCTTAAGACAGGGATGTCCAACCCGCGGGCCGCATGCGGCCCACAGGAAGAGTTTGTGCGGCCCACATAATGTTTCATATAAATACGGACATATAAACATATTTAACATTTCGTGGTATGATATCAAATCTTACTAGAATTTAGGCTATAATTTCACGCGACATAAGAAAAGCGTTGTTGGACGCCACAGAACATGATTTTACAGAGGGCCACTCAAGCATGCAACATCTGTGGCGATATCTGTTTTTTTCGGCAATGTATGTGCATTTTGCACGAAAGTTGAGTTGAATTTCATGATGTCATAGGAGTTCGCTGACGAGCAAAATTTGACAAGCTAGTCAGTTACATTGTGCGGTATCAAAACTACCAGTTGAGCAATGACAATTGAAGGCAAGTTTCGCACTTTTTACGTCTATGTATAAGCATTTTGCATAAAAGTTGAGTTGAATTTCATGGTCTTTGTGTGCATCTTGTGTTCAAAAATCTGCAAAATTGTTGTGCAATCCAGGCGTTTGATTTTGCGACGCTGGAATTCTAACGTAAATCGAAATTGAGTTGGGCCCGCATTGAATTACCTACCCCATGACAAAGTGGCTCGTGACACTAAAAAGGTTGGACATGCCTCCCTTTAAGATACGTCGACAGAAATGAGCACTTAACTACAGAAAACATATGACCACTTTAACTGATTGGTCATGATCAGTCATTTGTAACAAAAAAATATCAAATCAGTATTTATTGTCACACAACCTGTCATCTACCCACCTCATAACCAGTTGGTTACCAAGTAATATTTCATCGGTTTCCACTTTAATTCTGCTGTCAATTCGAGGCATAGCATCGTTTCCTTGAAATGTAAAGTATAGTTATAAATAGGTAGATTGGAGCAGGCTAGGGCTATTCTACTGGCGGACCATGGTCTGAATCTGGACCATTTTTAATAAGGGTTTCGCCAGCATAATCCAGGGGGTTCCGATTTGAGTCCGAGACTATATCAGGGCTACTCAATTATTTTCATCAAAGTTAGTACACAAAATTTAAAAATTACTGCGGTCTGGTCATTCCAAGGATATATCTTTAGTTATGTAAATTTCAAACGCATCGTTTGACAAAACACAAGAGCAATGCTCGACATCGCGCTTCGGTGTCGGTATGACAAGGTTTCAGTTGTGAAACCGAGGGTGTGAGATGACGCGCGTGTGAAATATATATGGAATATCTATAACCTAAAAAAAACAAGCCAATGTCTAAAAATCTGTGAACAATATATTCAATGAGCCACTGAAACTTCAATTTTTACGCCGCCATTGACATCTTGTTGATAAGTCAATGTTAGCTGAGTAAACAAGTGAGTCGATCCTCCGTATATTACAATGACAATTTTTCCTCAGTGGTTAAGCAAAAAATGCATTACGCCACGATCATGAAATTATAAGAAACGATGCATTCAAAGACAAAGAATGTGGTAATCAAAAATGGGCGCTGCAGAAGTATGTGTACCAATAGGGAGGTAACTAATTTTGTTCGCCTACTTTACATCTAGTTGTGTAAAGGAACTGAAACCTATGGGCAGGGGGTATATCAGGGTGGTCCAAGATTGAGAGCTCCGCTGGCCACAATAGTGCCAAGAACTTCGCTTGTTTAACTTCGCTAGTTAACTCAGCAAGCCATAACACTAGTCAATTCAGTGACATTAGTGATGCAACAATATGTCAAAAGATATTTTAGGTTAATTTTATGACAAAACAAAACGAAATGCGATTTTTTGATTCCTCTCCGAATGCGACGCGGGCCACAGAAAATGAATTGGCGGGCCACATGTGGCCCGCGGGCCTGGGTTTGGACCACCCTGGGGTATATGATTCACTTGTCTAACACAAACAGTCCCAGAACTGGTAATAGAACTAAAATAAGGAAACTCGGAATAACATCATGACACATACTATGGGAGTACCGGGAAACGAAATGTTCCCATTGCTATGAAGTAAACCAACTAGATTCAGTTATAGAATATAGCCAATTTGTGATAAAAATTCCTACACAGAAAATTAAAGTGTTCCTACCGTTGCGAAAATACCTTCAATACACTTACTTGATTCATCCATTCCTTTAACACTCTGGAATGATACATTGGACGCATGCTTCTCTAGTTTTCCGTCTGTTGTATTGGGTCGTTGGGGCTTAACTTCTATAAAAATTGGAGATTTTAGGGAAGTGCTTCTCAAACAGTGGAGCGTGAACCAAATTAAGAATAAAAATATTTGTCAGATTTGATCCTGCCTGCATTAGTATATTCACATTTCTTCATTTTGGATATTTAAGTCCCATCAAAATATTTTCAACGCATTTTTTGAATGAAAACATACTTACGGCCCTGTTATCTGTTAACTATATCTTATTGTTGGCTAGTTTTTTTTGAGGTTGGGTGCTGCATGTTTAATTAGCTCTACGCACCCCCCTTGTGGGGAGCGCCCAACCGTTCGACAACCACCGAGCTAGATGGTAGCTAGAAGTACTTGGGAAAAACCCTTTACATAGAAATTTCATTGACAAGCGAGCACACTTCATGGAAGAGAACTAGCAAAGATATTCAGAACAAGAACTAACTTTCTGATCCTGTTATTTGTCCATTTGATTGCTGTTCTTGGCCTGAAGATTTCTTCAGAGAGGGATCTTGCTTGATCGGAGTTGATGTTCTGTGAAAAGATGAAATTGGTTGTTCGAGTTTGATTGACTAGGATTATTGAACTGGGCCCTTGGTCCGAATCCGGACCTTCCGGGTATTCGATTCGAACCGCTCCTAATTTTTTATTTTGGATCATCAGCCTCAATTTAAAAGTTTTCTTTTCTAAAATCACTTTTATAGATTTAAATATGTATGAAAAGAAATATAACACCATAATACACAATCTTGATTAGCTAATAATCATTAGTCGGCCGAGGAAGTGCGTGTTTGAGAATGCCGGAATATAATTTCTGGAAAGATCGAACCCAATTATTTTTGAAGTTTAGTATGCGGATCTTCAGTAAAAATAGTTGAGTAGCCCTGCCCTTGGCAATGGGTCCATACAGAATACAGGGCTTCATGAGAGAAACCTAAGGACTCCACGAGCAATTTGTTTACTTAATGAAATACTGAATATTTTTTTAAGTACAAAGCAACAATTACATCTGAGTAATTGAATGAGGTAATTTTAGTTCACTCAGAAACATTATTCAATAAGTTACAATGTGTTTTTTTGTTTTTATTTTCATGAATTTGTTGTTGGGGCTCCGAAAATAATAGTCAACTGGCTCCATAGCACTGAATGTTTGAGATACCCTGCTCTAGAGGAGCCAATGTCGTCACTGGGTACTATTCGAGATGACAATATTAATTTAAAGTAATGTGATATTTTTAATTCTTCGACTGCAATGAATTTATTCTTTTACTTTCATTCGTTAACTTTTTCACTATCAAATTTGGCAATAAAAATACAGTATTTTCTTGCATAATATAAGCCGAAATTAAAAATCAAAAATAAAATTGCCAAACTAAGAGGTCGGCTGACAGGCGCCGAATATAATTCAGCTTATGCGTGCATAACTCTTGATCGCACTAAAAATTCAGCTTATACACACACAACTCTGATCACAATAAAAATTTTGCTTGTACGCGCATAACTCTGATCGCACTCAAACAAAATGATATTATGCCAACCTTTTTTTCAATAGCTATAACTCATACAGCGTGTTACGATGTCGTTTTAGGAGCAAAACTTTGGCGGTTCTGTTCGGTAACGGTTCATAGTAGTTCTTTACAGTCTCACAAAAGAAGTGTTCAAGCGGGTAAAGCGTAAAAACAAAAAAGTATGGAAATGCAACTTTTAGAACTGCGATTGACTTTTCATGATTTGCTGCTGCTATTTTCTGTTTCATTCATTTTATTATTTTGTTCCCGACAAACAAGTTCATTTTAACCAAAGTTACCGGTATGCTAGAACAGGTTAGGAACACCTCACTATAAAAGCACTTAAACACAAACCTCATGTCCATATCGGTGGAGCTCTTAGTTACAGGAAGTTGTGATTCCCCATTTTCAGCATACGCCACTTTCTTCTCTACAGGTGGGTTTTTGGCTAGCTTCTTAACCGGCATAATTTTCCTAACATTTGTGGTGGATGAAGATTCATCAGTGTTATGGTTGTTGTTATTGAAATCTCCATTGTCTGGTGATCGCTCTTGCGTAACCTCCCCGTTTACAAGAGGAACAGCATCAGTAGTTGTTGACGGACCAGGTTTTTCTAAAAGTTAAAGAAACAGTAGTGAAAAACTGAATGTATGTTGGAGCTGTAGTCAGTTGGTACATGAAACAACAAACATGAAGCAGCAGTTGCAGTTAAGGCGAGCTATCTGGTCTAGGGGGTATCGGTTTGGGCTGGTGTTCAATAGGCCCACTGTTCAAATCTCGGTATAACTGGGCTTTTCAGAACAATCGGGATGGAATTATGTAACAGTAGACCCAAACTGATAGAAGGAGTTATCTGGTTTTGGGGATATAAGGTTGGGCTGGTGGCCAATGGGCTTGGTGCTCAAGCCCTCAAACCCTCGTACAGCTGGCTATTTCAGGACAAGCAGTTGGCCACACCAAGTGGTACTGAACTGTGTTGAATTATATGACGGTAACTGAAATTGATAAAAGGATTTTTTATGGCAGCGTTTGGCAAAATTTCTGCCACATTAAATTTTACAATTATTACATAGCCCAATTTTTTGTGTTGATCCAGACTAACGGAAGTAAGAAAATGACATGTGCATTATTCACGCTAATTACTACAGAACAAACGCTGTACTACAGATACAGTTGTTATGAAATTAAAGAGCCCTCATTGAGACACATCACATATTTTACACAGATCAGAAGTTGGAATTTTAGACATTAAATAGCTGGTGAACATTGCGACGACTCGTGGACTCAAGTCACCATAATAAAATGACATTTATTGGGACACTTGTTGCTGCATTACGATTAATAGCTTTTCGACATCAGGTGACGCACTGGACGAAGCCAAGATTAAAACACTTTCAAAATGGGCATCACTGATCCGAGTTCTCAGTTTGTTCTTCCTAATGTTCATTTTCGAAAATAATTGTTCGCACACATATGTACTTCCAGGCATCGATGTGAATTTTTTCGCATGGTTTGTCAAATTTGGATAGAAATTTCCTTCAAGAAATTACTTTTCATAAAAATCAAGCAGTGACACATATCTCGAATAAAAAACGGATTTTATTGCATTACATGCATTATTGATCCTATGGCATGCATTGTTTGCGTCACACAAAGACAGGTATAGGCTTTGCAACACAAAGAGGGTCACACAATTCCTTCTTGGGGATGTTTTAAATAATTAACGGCCCGAAACCCTGAAGCAACCAAGCACAATCAAGTCCTAAGTAAATCAAAATTGCTTTTATTTTATTGAAAACAATATTCAACAAACGGATAACAAACTGGACAAGTGTTCACCTTCAGCTTTTTCTTCTTTCTTCTTGAAGTTATTTGGATCATTTTTAAAGTCATGATCTTGGCCTAAATCGTCTGGGAACGGTGGGAAGGAATAGGTCCAGTCGACCTGTCAAAAAAATTGAAAATTGCGAAGAAACAGATATATGGACAAGTTGGTCAAATTGATGTCATATTAAAGTGTTCCCAGAGGAGAAACATGGTGTTCCATTATACTTTGAATATGATAAAGTCCAGTAAGTGGTCAACTAGTCCCTAAAAAAATATTATAGACATTTTTTAATAACAATAATTAATAGAACAAACTATATGTTACATCAGAGGTAGGCTATTACAGCCCCCAGGTCGGATCAGGCCCATTTGCGTATGCTGAAATTATGACTACTATTTTAGGGGATGTAAATTTCTGTTGAAAATAACGCAATAATGACCAAAATTGTTACATTGTGCTTCTTATATAAACGTTAGCCTAAATGTTATAAATTAAACTGTTTTTTTTCGTAGTTTTTCATATAAAGTTTTGAGACTTCAGCCCAGTAACCAAGTCTATTAAAGGTAACTCGCCCACTTAAAGAAGTGATTGTACACCCACGTGTCACACCCTCTTGTCTAATATAATAGTATTCCTACCGTGCCAGCCATTGACTTCGGAAGTTGATCGGGTGAAATATATTTTTTCAAATCTTTTCGACTGCAGAAAACAGTTTTGCTACGTTGTTCTTCGCTCATCCACTGCTTCACTATGTTCCAGATTGCTAGAAAAAGCAAAATTAATTTTAAGAATTCTGTGAATTTCAGATGTTTCATGTTTAGAATAAATGTCTCAACCTTGGCTGAAGTTATATAAAACCTTGCATATAGCTTTTTGCAAGCAGTGACAGAGCTTAGTTCGATACTTCCTTAGTGTGTGTCCCAGGTTAGGGTTATGCCTTCGGTAATTTCATTCTGATTTTTCTTATTTTAGTTCTATTACGAGTTCGGGCACTGTCTGTGCTAGCTGAGTGAATATATCCCTGCCCATAGGTTTCAGTCCCTATACACAACTTGATGTAAAATAGGCGAACAAAATTAGTTACCTCCATATTGGTACACACACTACTGGAGCGCTCTTCTATCAGTACACTTACCACTTTTAGTAAAAAGTTCGGGAGCTTCTATCTAGCTGAGAGCTCTCCATCATGGCGCTCCAGAAGTGTGTGTACCAATATGGAGGTAACTGATTTTGTTCGCCTATTTTATATCAAGTTGTGTAAAGGGATGAAATGAGTAGGGGGTTCATTCATTATTCACTTGGCTAACACAGACAGTCCCCGAACTCGTAATAGAAATGAATAAGGCAAATCGTAATAAAATTATGGCCTAACCCTAACCTGGTACACACACTACGGGAGTACCCTTTTCACTTCTAGATGAGGGTTCTGGACCCTGGTCTCAGCAAACTTAAAAATAAATGTAAAATGAACGAACCACTTACCATTCATAATCCAAGGCATATCAAGAATGATGATTTTTTCTGAAATAAAAAAATCTTATTCAGCGAAAAGTCTCAAAAGTTGACATACCGTAACCCTTTATATCAGCGGTTCCCAAAAGATGCACCTAGTGCGTCGCGAATAATGACAGATTTTTTGTTCGGCACAAATGAGCCATTTCCCCATTTATTCACATGTTTATAAACTTGAAAAATCATAAAGTACACATTGAAGAAAACAAAATTTGAGTTTTATTTAAAAGCAGCATTTTCTTACAGTGGGTGCTACGTGTGAGTTCTTTTTAATAATAATTCGACGCTACACGAACAAAAAATTTGGAAACCGCTTCTTTCAACAATAACAACCCTGCAAAACAATCCCTAAGTAATATTGTTCTAGCAGAATAGTGAAAATTTGAAATTAAAAGCCTGTCTCTCTAACTGCTGGGATATTTCACAATCACAATATCGAGAATATCAGTCGGAGACTGAAGACTTATCGATCGAAACTGCGGTTTCGATTCATGACTCTATAGTGACACCGCGTGTCCCATCACTAATTAATTAATAACTCGCTAATTATATGACATAATTCATTAAAAATCAATAGGCTTCTGTTCCGAGATATGATGAATGCACATGCAAAATTTGGAGCAGATTCAACCTCGCCTTCAAGAGATATCGCAATCATCTGACAGACAAACAAACAGACATACAGACAAATACCTATCAACATACTTACCAATCTTAAGATCGATAAGTAATAACAACACTGCCAAACCCCATTACCTTTAGTTATGAGTGCGTCAGTATTAATAAAGTATTGAAACCAGTTTAAACAGTATAAACTAGGCTATCACATGACATGTATTATTGTCATCATTAATCAATTTGGATTATAAGGGATGCCTGCTGTGACATCCTTATTTATAATATTTGTCTTTTTGTCGTTCTAGGAATCAAATGGTGCAAATCCTTTAAAGCGCAATTTATGATTAGACACAGGTCGCACTGACATGAATACATTTTGTCTGTAATATTTTTTTCTTTGTTATTCTATTATGTTTCCCCGACATCCTTATTTTTGGCAGCCCTGGTTACGAGGAAAGCATGCTGTGTTTTAGTGCTATAAATCAGATTAATTTTAATCTGATACAAATGTAAAGAAAAAGTGGGTGCTTCTGAAGTATGTGAACCAAGATGGCGGACACCGAAACGTAGTATGTGTACCAGGATAGAATTAGGCCATAATTTTATTCTGATTTAACTTATTTTAGTTCTATTACGAGTTTAGAGACTAGCCAAGTGACTCCCGTAGTATTTGTACCTGAAATTATGGCCTAACCCTAACCTGGTACACATACTATGTTCCGGCGTCCGCCATCTTGGTTCACATACTTCGGGAGTACCATGAAGTGCACATATGGTTTATGTTACTAAATTATTGTTGTTGTTCTTATTCATTCTGCGCAAGTAAAGGCCTTCCAGCCACTGTTTCAATCTTTAAGTAATTTATTTTTTGTAATTAGTAATTTCTCATTACATTGAATTGTCTGCTGTTTTGACATTATTTAACCCTTTCCATGCGATTTTTATTTTTTATTAAATAATCGTAATTGCTACGACGATTTTATGCATTTGTCGTGGGTACGTATACGTGCCCACCGCACGGAAAGGGTTAATTATGCTTTGTGTTTTTGACATCTTAGGTTGATTTATAAGGTTCACCGGTCTACAAAATTTTTTGGAAATTTTACCAGTTCGCAAACTAAAAAGGTTGAAAACTACTGAGTTAGACAGTCAGTCATTCAAAGCGAGCGTTAATATGAAATAAAAATATTACGTAAGATACCACAAACTACTAGTCGTGCTAGACACGATATCCTTGTATTATTAGAGATAAGGGACTGTGGTTGCGTATGTTTGAAGATTATGAAACAAAATTTTGTATAACACAGACAGAAAGACATTATCAGATAAATCCAGCGGCACGTCTTTTATGATGTAACAATATTGTTTGTTATTTCATTTTATTTAATATTTTAAGTCATCCAACACATATTTTGACAACTTTGACACCATATCACCTTACAAAAAAACTTAACACATCAAATAAGATAAGATCACGATATTGTGAAAGTTTATGCAATGTTGGTTTCACACAGAGATGGCCAATACCAAATAGTTCACTATTTCAAATACATGCGAAATTATTATTTTAGAATATGAAATTTTGAATACATTCGAAAATAAAATCAAGTTATATATGGTGTATGAAGGAATTTGCATACAATAAACAATGGGATAACTTATCTAGTTATGAAAATATGAATCAAAAATTAATTATATTCGGGCACTTTACTACACATTTTAAGTCCGCAGATCGCCGTTGTATGTTTGAGTAATAATACTTTTATTATTTTATAAATACCAAAATACGAATCAAAAATAAATTATAATAGAGTAGTTTACGACACATTTTAACTCCACAGGTCGCTGTTGTATTTTGTAAATACGAAAATATGAATCAATAATTAATAATAATCGCGCAGTTTACCATACAATTCATGTCCACATATTGCCATGATATTGTGCCCGAAAATAATTAATTTTGTTTTGTATTTTCGTACTCATGAAAAGATTGTCACAAATCGGAAAAATAATTTATACTTTATCCCGCTTTTTGGCAAATAATTTGGATAATGGTTGACATTGGTTGGTATTTAAAAGTATGAAAGTGGTTATCATTCGGAATTATTCGAAAATCAGTCGAAAAGGTATTCAAATACTTTGATATTCGAATACATTCGAATATTCAATTCGTTTTGGACAACCCTGGACTTTTACATAAATTATGATTTTAACGAAAAACATGGTAAAATTCGAAGAAAAACTCACTTCTTCAAAGGACTTTGATAAACACTTTAGAATAAATATTTTAGTTTTATCATACCAGGAGACAAAATTACGATCTATTTTTACTATTTGAACTAATTAATTCCATACTGCATAGACTGGCAACAGGACGAGAGACATCTTTGTAATGTTAAAGATGAGGAACTGTGTAATAATCCCGGTAACAGGACGAAAGGCCGTGGTTCGTCATAATATTAAACAGTTTTATCACCCTCCCAAAAAGGATGAAAATGATATAGGCATATTATCCATTAAACATGATCCTTTTATATATCAAATGAAATAAAAATTCAGACCAATCACTCCTGAGATTATCATAGCAGCAGCCATTTTAAAATAAACACAAGATTGAACCCGACACAATAAAAGATTGGACGCGATAATCGTTTTGTTTTTATCTAACACAAATCTAACATCATGTCAAACTATGAAAAACATGACACGTATCAGCATTAATTTTGCGAAAGTTTTAGAATTATGTAATAAATGTTTTGTACATAAACATGAATCAATCATGATAATGAGCGCTCCAAGCGTGTGTCAATATGGAGGTGACTAATTTTGTTCGCCTACTTTACATCAAGTTGTGTAAAGGGATTGAAATCTATGGGCAGGGGGTATATTCACTTGGCTAACACAGACAATCCCCGAACTCGTACTAGGACTGAAATAATGGCCCAACTCTAACTCGGTACACAACGGGAGTACGAAACAATGATCGTTTCCATGTCAACCCAAATTCTAATTTTTATGTATGGTTTCTAATAAATTAACGAATAAAAATAACTTTAGAAAACTCATCTCTGAGCAAAGTTATATGTACTTACTCAGAAATAAAAGAGACACGCATACAAGCAACTACGAACCACCACTAGTGCCAAAGGTTGCTAAGACTATATAGAACTGGTCATAGATGGCGACAGAGTTGATTTACGGCCCCGCTTTTTCATTATTTTGCAAGTATAAGAACAAGCCTAAATCACAGGATTTATTAATAATGATGAAAGTCACAAAATATAAAAAAATAACAGTCCGATTGTCTAAAACTTAAAAAAACACGTTTACAAATAAACTGACAATTTGATATTTGGTATTGTGGTTTTCAGAATTATACAATATCTCTCTTGGCCATGAACTTACAACAAATATTTTAAACTTTCATTATTGGCAATTTTGTAAAATAGAATTTAGGATTAATTCGAACTTTTCTGTTACTGTGATAATGATAAATTTACTGTTAATAAAGCGCTAGTCTTGCGATTAAATATGCAACTAACATTTTGTGCTCTTAATTATTTCTAAACATGAATTTTTTCCAGTGATAAGTATTTAAAATTGACGTTAATGGAATTTCGCGGTTTCAGAATTATGTGATCTAAATCTCGTGCATAAACACACAACAAACATCTGTCGAACTTTTGTTTAATGAGATGATTCAACATTTGGGTGATTCAAACAGGTTGCATCAACTCATAATATGGGGCTTCATGGGGGGCTCCCGAAGTATGCGAACCAAGATGGCGGACATCGGAATGTAATATGTGTACTAGGTTAGGGTTAGGCCATAATATTAGGTTTAAATACTACGGGAGGCTCTTGGCTAGTTTTCGAACTGATAATAGGACTAAAATAAAGAAAATTGGAAATAAATTATCGCCTAACCCTAACCTGTTGCCATCTTGGTTCGCATACTTCGGGAGCACCCTTCATGGTTTGGATTATTAAATAATTTGAAATTGCGTTAAATGAACATTTGCAACAAAAGAATTGCCACAGCCAAAATTTTGTTTATTGAAACCCTTCTATGAAGACATTATGATTCAGAACAATCAATTAAATTTTAGGCTCGGGGGTCGGGAAAACAATGTCCATTCCTGTTCAGAAGAAAATTTATTGCAAATACCTAAAAAGGCAAATAAATTTAAACATTATATTCATTTAGGTTTATTAATTTATTTGGTCGCGTTCATCAACAAGAATCAAAAACACAAACTTGAAAATCTAGAGTCGCTGCGGAAAAAATAAATTGTGAATTCATCGAAGATACATTTAATTATTAAATTTATTTCAAGTTTCAATTTTCACTGTTTCCTAAAGTCAGATGTATTGAATCGAAAACAGCTAGTGTTGCGGTGGAAATACAGTCAAATTGTGAATTCATCGAAGATACATTTCAATATTTTAATTAGTTGAGTTTTAATTTCCAAAAGTCAGATGTATTGGACTGATTCTTTTGAATCGAAAACAGCTAGTGTCGCTGTGAAAAACAATCAAATTATGAGTTCCACAGCGTTTTTGACTAAAATTTTTGGTCGACCATCAAATTTTTTCGGTATCGAATCGTTCGACTACCGAGGTAGTACTGTACATTATGAAATCATAATATTCAATATTCAAATATCGTAAAATATTCTGAAATGGGTGATTAGCTGGGATATTCATTGAAAATACATAGAATGTATATATTATATTTGTAAATATTATACATTAGAAGATATTATACAAGAAGTGTTTTTACTGCACCATTTCATCATCAAAAGATCGTAAAAACATGAAAAAAGTACAGAGATTTTGATATTTTCCACAAATTTTAAAATAGTGTAGCCTTGATCCCAAACTAAAATTAAAATTTTACAAACAACGACAATAAAATTTGCAAAAAATTTGATTTCCTTTTCGTTTTTTGCTCCAAGAGGCAATTACCGTACTTCATCAATTTCCTTTTAATACATGATTTGCAATTTTTAGTTCTTCCGCAAATTTAAAAAATAATATGGTTTTAACCACAAACTCAAATTAAAAATGCACTCATCCCGTGAAATTGAGAAAATTATCCATTACATAAATAAAAAAAATTGATAAAAATCTACAAAGTATAGTCTGATGTGTGACTAATGGATTTAAATTGCTGCAAGGCGAGTGAAATATTGAAATATTTTGCCGAAAATGATATTTTGGTATCATATATCATCCATCATTTTATAATGAGGCTGCAAATTGTGGCTACCAATAAAAATAAGGCTACTATGGTTCTGGACGAGGCTCTTCGCAAGCATTTACTGATATATAAGCGTCTTTCTGAGTATTTTAAAGCAAAATCGGGCTGAAATGAAAGAAAAGTTGACATTGCCTTTACTCTTTAGGCTGTTCACACAAACTATAAAAGCATAAACTGCCCATTATTTATCATAAAATTGAGTTTTTTTAAAAAATAGCAATTTCATTCCGTGCAATGCAATGTGAGTTTTTCCTGATAATTTGCAGCACAAGCAAAACCTCAGACAACCTCTGTCAAGACGTGATATAAGTTATCTTATCATCCTTATATTAAAATTATTAACTTATATTAAAATTTTACCTAATAAATCAGGAAAATATGACGTAAACGAGTCGATAATGAATCGAATTAATCCAAGGTCAACGTTACCCATCGCAGTTTTGTTCGTGTCGAGAATGAAGGTAACATGCTGGCCAGGTTCGTACCTGAAAGTATTGAAAAGAAAAATTTGAAAAAAAAGAAAATTTTGGTACAGTGGTTCCTAACTGCAGATCCACAGAAATATGCTAAGCCGGGGTGTGTAACCTTTAACACAGGACGGTCAGATACGAAAAACTGGGTGAAAAACCAAAGCGCACAATTTTTCCTTGTGGGCAGCATTTTTCACACCTCTGACCAAGTCTATAACACAATTTTTTTTGAACCAGTCAATAGTGTGAAAACTCTCCTACACGTTTTAAAGTAGGGGTGTGCAACCTTTTAATACAGAAGGGCAACAACTGGGTGAAACTGCACCATAATTTAACATAGGCTTTCTAGGTGCTCCCGAAGTATGCGAACCAAGATGGCGGACATCGGAACGTAACATGGGTAACAGGTTAGGGTTAGGCGATAATTTTTTTCCAATTTTCCTTATTTTAGTCCAATTATCCGTTCGAAGACTAGCCAAGAGCCTCCCGTAGTATTTATACCTAAAATTATGGCCTAACCCTAACCTAGTACACATATTACATTCCGATGTCCGCCATCTTGGTTCGCATACTTCGGGAGCCCCGCTTTCTAATAGTTGCTGGCACAAAAAATTCAGTTATTGATCTTATGACATGTGTTGTTTGCTTCGCACAAGCTATCTGTTAGGCAGCGGTTCTCAACCAAGGGCCCTCGGGCCCCTAAGGGGGCCACAGAGGAGTTGGAAGGGGGCCACAAGGATGGGCTGAAATCTGAATTTACTTTTCACTTTAAAAAGAAATCTCAGTTTTTCCAGTTTGCTGCTCAACAAGGTTATTTCGCATGGTGTTTTCGCTCTCTTTTGTGCAAATTGTTTTAACATAATGGGATTTGGAATCTATCAATGAAAATAACCCTATTATTACCTCTGGAATATTAAAGTGGGGGCCATGAGTGCTAAAAGCCTCCAAAAGGGCCACGAGTCATAAAAGGTTGAGAACCACTGTGTTAAGGCATTGTAAAGTTATAGGCATATATATAATAAATTGGACTCGGGCGTAAGCTTCACAACACAAAGGGATTGGAATTACTCGCACGTACCAAATTAAGTCAAAATACATTCGAAATTATTATTTTCGAATATGAAATTTCGAAAAAGAAATCAATTATAACCGGGCAGTTTACCACACATTATATGTCCACAGATTGCCGTGCTATTCATCAAAATTATTTGCCAAAAAGCGGGAAAAAGTATGAATTATTTTCCTAATAAATCGACTTGTTTTTCCGACTTGTGACAATTAATTGGGTTGGGTATCATAACAATTTTAACATTAAATAATTTTCATGTAATGAAAATGAATGTGTAAATTAGAAGCCTTATATGGAAATAGCAGCAAAGTCCACCACACAACCGTGCAAATGTGTCGCAACATTATGCGTGACAAAGCATATTGATATTCGAATACTCGATTCGTTTTGGGCAACCCTGGTATCAGCTATTGTGGTCTGGATCAGAGGTGGGTAATTACTTTTCTGAGTGGACCATTTACAGATAATAGACTGATTACTGGGCCGGAGAGTCAAAACTCAATATGACAAATTGGAAATAAAAAACAGTTAATCTACAACAGCTAGGCTAACGTTATTAGAATCACAATGTAACAATCCGGTCATTATGAAATTATCTTCAAAGGAAATATATATCCAAAAAAACTATAGTTTTAATTTCAGCAAAAAAAAGGGTCGGATAAATATCTTCCATGGGCCCGACCCGGCCCACAGACTGTAATTTGCCCAACCTTGGTCTAGACCAGTGGTTCCCAAACTTTTTGAATAAAATTCTATGGCGGACCCCTTGCAATTTTTTTAACGATTCCCGGTCTGCACTAAAACAAAACATTAAAAGATAACAACAAAAATCAATGCATCGTATAGTGAAGCGAACAAAAGAATATAATGCTCAACTCTAATAACATGTATGACATCCAGTCTGTTTCGATATTTGGTAAACATGCAAAAGGCCAACGTCAGCTACAGCTAGTAAACTTGTGGTGACAGGAATTGAACTCTCTCTGTGATATCACAGACACACAGCTCTGTGACATCACAATAGGACAGCGTGATTGAGACAAAAAGTGATGAATCAGTGTCTCCAGTGGTGAATGCAAAGCAGCAAAAGGCGACAAACGTGTATTTGCAAATTTGAGCACTTAATTTTTGTATTATCAAGCTATTACAGTTTTGTTTCGCGGACCCTTAGAAAGTGCTTCACGGACCCCAAAAGGTCCGCGGACCCTAGTTTGGGAACCACTGGTCTAGACCGAATAAGACATTGTTTCCTAAACCGGGAGAAATTCAACCCGAGATATAAATTGGCTTTGTAATTGCTGCATCTTTATTAATATACTTTATAGTTAGTTCTTCACAGTTATAGAAATAGTTCTCAGTGAAAGCAGTTTTCCAGTCACATGATTTCTAGGAAGTAGTGATCAATAATGCACACAGAGATATAAATGAATAATATTCTAATTATTATGGTGTCTGTACATTTAGTTTTAACGAAATTCAACAGTCATTAATACAATTAAAAATTATTTCAAAATCATAATTATTTTAGCATAATAATAATAGCATGTCTTTTCAGGATTTATTCATTTCCAATTTCAAATTATTTCTACGCATAAATTCAAAAATGTTATGTACGAAAGCACAACACACATGAATCACCATTATACATATGTAAGCAGGAAGCCAGAAATGTGTAATATTTCAAATGTCCTAGATTGGCTTGCTTAATTTTTTTTCGAACTGGAAATGCAGCGTTGGTGCTTAACTCCCGAAGTAAACACAAATTCTTTGTTCTGAATAGTTTTGTACTTTGACATACTTATACAAATAAAATTTGTACTTCGTTAGTATGTGTACCAGGTTAGGGTTAGGCCATAATTTTATTCTAATTTACCCCTTTTTAGTATACATAAATATCCAAACTAAGGCGGGCGAGATCGAATCTAACATATATTTTTATCTTCAATTAGCTTCACGCCCCCTTAAATAATTGTCTGCGCTCTCCTTGCTGTGTGCACCCACCGTTTGAGAACCACTGATCTTGACCCCATATGAACCCTGGTGAAGGTGAATCCCCCCCCCCTCCCTTACCTCTGCAATCTTTCCAGCCAGAACATTAACAACTGCCGAATTTGATCCTTTTCATCCTTATTTTGCATTCTTCCGATCAAGCACACTAAAGACAATTTATTATTAGAAAGACACAAAATAACTGACATTAGCTACGTTATTTCAAATGGGCCGCAGAACTTGGTTACTGGGCCGAACACTCAAAACTCGATATGAAAAACTATGAATAAAAAACAGTTTATCTATAACAGTTAGTCCAACAGTTACAGGCTAATGTTTCTATAATAATAAGAAGCAGGATGTAACAATTAGGGTCTTATGACTGGAATTTCATCGACATTTTCAACGAAAATTTATACCAAGAAAACTATAGTTATAATTTCAGCATACAAAAGTGGGTCGGATGAGACACTTCAGGGGGCCATAATTTGCCCGCCCCTGGTCTTGTTGGAATAAGAAAAAGGGAATATATTTCAAAGGGGCCGCAGTCTTTCCAGTTCGGCATCGCCTACTTAATTTCATTAAACCCTGGCAGAGAGGGGGTTCAGGATTTCAACCAGCAATGTTTGCGCAGTCAAGTCTAACACTTAAACCCCTAGGCTAGGAGTGTGCAACACGCAATCACGGGCCACAAATTGGCCCTCCAAGATATTTAGTGTGGCCCATCTTAACACTCGGATTTCTCCCCATTGAGCATAAACTCCTAATTAATCCCAATAAAATCCCAAATTAATAAAACTTTCCATTGTGATAAATAGATAATTTCCTAATTTACTGTGTAAATGGAAAACTAAATTTTTTGGGTGGCCTATCCAGATGCCCGTCGACAAGAAATGTTAATCACCCCATGCATTTGGACATCATGCCCAAGTTGCTATCATCACTTGCTTGAAAAAACATTTTTTAAACCAGTGGTTTTCAAAGGGTGGGGCGCGCCCAAAAGGGCATTTTTTTGAGGAGACGTGAAGATATCAAAAATAAAAATGTCTGTCAGATTTGATATTGCCCGCCTTATTTTGGATATTTACATTTCTTTATTTAGGCTTCCCGCTGCTTGTCAGCAAGGAACCTATTGTATTCCTGTGTTTTATTATTATTATTATTTATTTATTATTATTATTTTTTCAAATTGGTCCTACAAACTTGAAATTCACCTCAAATGTGCAGAAGTTCTCAGCTAGCAATAAAATGCAAATTTTTTTTTACGCGGGAAGCCTGTTAAAGCTGCACGCAGCTCTAGTTTGGATATTGTTTTTTGAATAAAACTTACTTTCGCCTCATACTATCTGTTATTTGTAGCTTATTGTTAGCTACCGGTAGTTATTTTTGAAGTGGGTGTGAGACTTGACAAATTCCAAAAGGGGGCGCGGCTTAAAAAGTTTAAAAACCACTATTTGTCGAATCCATATTACAACAACCGATTTTTCAGAACAAAATTGGAATTGTCAAGTTTTCAGGGGAGTGAGATCTATTTGCGCGGCGGTGTGGCTCAACGGGCTAAGCGTTAGGAATACGCTCGCCACCGCACCTCTAATTACTCTGCGTGGGTTCGCAGGTTTGAATCCCATGCAGGGATGGCTATGTGCGAGAGGATTGCTGGACTCCTCGCCGTCGTTCGGTGCTTCACGTAACCGCTGGTCGGTTACGGCTTCCTCCACCACCAAGTTCATGCTTCCGAAAACAAACAATATAACTAATCCCATACCCGACTTGGAATGGTAACCGGACGAGAGGCCATGGTTCGCCATATGGATAAGCCGACTTATCGGCTTTCCTCTCCCCCCGGGATAAATATGTAAATCCTTAAGATATAACACTACTGTACTTACTGACTCTATGTCCTTCCAGGTCTCTTCCATAAATGTAAATTACTCCCTTTTCCATGTATTTCTGTCCGATACTTTCAACGGAGATATCTGAATGAATTGAACATAGAATTTATTTATTTATCTTAAAAGAGGAAAGCTGATAAGATGACTTAATCACAAGGCAAACCAAGCTGATAAGATGACTTAATCACAAGGAAAGCTGATAAGATGACTTAATCACAAGGCAAACCAAGCTGATAAGATGACTTAATCACAAGGCAAACCACAGCGTAATTTTTTCAGAGCCCTACAGGGCCTGACATTATACCCAAAATGTCGCTGTTTTTTCAATTATTATATTCATTTTTAATATATTTCTGCCAACTAGTGTTTTTTCAGATAACCGAGACTGATTAGTTTTATCAATTACAGATGGATGAGCATGAACAATGATGTCATCAGTTATAGATAACTGATCACTGATCATGTTATATGACCTTTGGTACAACATAACACCCTCAAGAATGAACATTTAGGAACACTGTTATATGACATTTGGTACAACATAACACCCACAAGAATGAACATTTAGGAACACTGTTACATGACATTTGGTAGAACATAACACCCACGAGAATTAACACTTAGGAACACTGTTATATGACATCTGGTAGAACATAACACCCACAAGAATTAACACTCAGGAACACTGTTATACGACATCTGGTATGACATAACACCCACAAGAATGAACATTTAGGAACACTGTTATATGACATTTGGTACAATATAACACCCACAAGGAACACTGTTATATGACATTTGGTACAACATAACACCCACAAGAATGAACATTTAGGAACACTGTTATATGACATTTGGTACAACACCCCAAAAGTTAACACTTAGGAACACTGTTATATGACATTTGGTACAACATAACACCCACAAGAATGAACATTTAGGAACACTATTATATGACATTTGGTACAACATAACACCCACAGGAATGAACATTTAGGAACACTGTTATATGACATTTGGTACAACACCCCAAAAGTTAACACTTAGGAACACTGTTATATGACATTTGGTAGAACATAACACCCACGAGAATTAACACTTAGGGACACTGTTATATGACATCTGGTAGAACATAACACCCACAAGAATTAACACTCAGGAACACTGTTATATGACATCTAGTATGACATAACACTCACAAGAATTAACACTTAGGAACATTGTTATATGACATTTGGTACAACATAACACCCATAAGAATTAACACTTGGGAACACTGACATCCGACATTTAATACAACCCAACGTACCTCTCATTCCATTTTCTTTTCGCCACTCGAGGCATGATGCTGCTAATTCAACTGCGTCATCAATAACCTCTTTTTTCCAATGAAGGAACGAGAGTGCAAACAAGTCATCGTTATGAATCCGCATCACATCGTGTTCGTCAAATTTGGCGAGTCGGGCAGAAGGAGGATCTGTATAATTATTAAAATGTGAGAGAGACCTAGGGGCTCCGCAAGCTATTAATTTACTTATTAAAATACTGACTTGGCTAGTTTCGTAACTGTCCAATAAAGCAACAACGGCAATGTTGAGATTCGAAAAAAATAACAAATACATCCAAATACAATTTATTTTGGAACTTCGTAAATAACAGTTAACATGTCCTTTTAACAGGCTCCATAACACCAAAAGTTTGAGAACCCGTGCTCTAGACCAGTGGTTTTCAGCCTTTTTGGTGGCGCAGAACCCTAATGCGACATTCTAAAGACTAGAGCAACCCCCGATGTGAAAGTTGTGGGTGGGATTATGAAAGCAAGCATAATACTGGCGTAACAAAATAACAGGAACAAAAGAAAACTAGAAAAAGTCCGTTTTTTTAACAATGGAATTTTCAAGACTGTTCCATTTCTGAGTAAGTGTACGCAAACTTTCTCTGAGAAACTCCAGGATGGCGGACACCAGAACGTAGTATGTGTACCCAGGGTTAGGGTTAGGCAAAAATTCAGGTACAAATACTACGGAAGTCACTTGGCTAGTCCCTGAATTCCTAATCGAACTAAAATAAGAAAAATTGGAATAAAATTATGGTCTAATCCTAACCAGGTACAAATACTACTGGAGTCACATGGCCAGCCCTCAAATCGAACTAACATAAGGAAAATTGGAATAAAATTGTGGCCTAACCCTAATCAGGTACATATACTACGTTCCGGTGTCTGCAATCTTGGTTCACATACTTCTGGAGTGCCGAAAATTTTATTAACAACAAATCGCTAAAAAAATACACACAAGAGTAAAACAATACAAGAAAAATTACCAACAAATTTCTTGTTAAACTTCTCTCTCAACTCTGCGATCATTTTCGAGTCATCATTCCCGCCCGATGCAGCTGTCGCCATAATTTTTGTCGATATTGGATTGCTATTTGGTTGTATTATAATGAAATTACTAACTTGAATAAATATAAATAAAGCCTTTGGCAAACATTTGAAGAAAAAAAATAAACATTACCTTAGTTAGGTGCTATAGGAAAACAAAATCAAACATAACAAAATATTGAGAATTCAGGTAATATAATCAGGGTTATAATGCAATATGTGTATATTAAGAATTACTTTTATTGTTGAATATTGTTTATTACAATATTGTTTCATTTTATTCAATAAAAAGAAATTTGAATAAATCTCGGGTATGATATTAGTTGCCAAGTTATTTGTTCCAGATGCATGGATTTGATGGTGGGAGTAGCAAAAAGCCCTACGTTTAGCACAATGCACGAGTCTAGTGTAGTTTCGTACCTAAAGTACTTCTAGTGGGCGTAGCATAACATTTTTTGCATATGTCAATCCTAACCCCCACCTGACTATGTCATGCACTTAAAGTATGAAACAACAGAAGACCCCAATGCACAATACCGCTTTTTATCAGCACATTTGGTTCAATAAAACAAACACTCTTATTTGTCTCTGAAACGGGGTCGCTTACCACAACGACAAATGCGTCAGATTGCGCCAGGCTTGTCTCGATAATAATAAAAATTAATCATGCATGTCACATAACCAAAATTGCGTTTTTTTTTGCGGAAAACTCACAAATGCTAACAGTATACATTTCTCTTCGGTAAATCAAGATTATTTTCCCAAATAATCCATTGTTTTTTAATTTGCTTCCTTTTAGTTTATTGTGCCAAGCTGGTATGCCGATTTGGAAGCCCATACTGTCTCATAAAGGGGGGGGGTTGTAAATACTGTTATAATTGATGTCTTTCACTGTGGGGGCTTTTTATACTGTACTGTTGGACGCTAAAAACCATTGTCAGCACCAGGGTGGTAAGCTGGGAGTTCTCAACCTTCCCCCTGTTTGTTCTTTGATCCTTGTCGCCCTGGCGGAGTAAATGAGCCCCATCAACTACGCATACCGTACTGCAGTACTGGTACAGTCTAGTACGAGAGACCATAATCAGCATAACAGACGATAAAATAATTAATAAAAGCAAATGAATAAAAAGTGATTACCGATACCTGGATATCGTATAATTTAGGTGACGACAGACGCTAGTCTGGCTACCTTATTATAGCCTATTGCATAATAATACCACTAGCCTACCTGAATGAAATTCTTGTATTCTATCGTCTGTTATGCTGATTATGGAGTCGAAATAAACTTATATAAAAAAAGTTTTGAGCGCTGCAATCCATTATTTTGTCATGTGTTTTTAAACTAACCATTCATGGATGAAAACCACTGTTTTAAGTATAAGTATATTTCGACCCCATAATCAGCATAACAGGCGATATGAAAAAATTGATAAAAACAAATAAAATCTAGAAATCAAGTCCAAACCTAGGTGAGTGAACATGTTCCCCTTCTTCTTGCAGTCTTGGCAAAACCTTCAATCTTATAAAGGTACATTCTGTACGTTTCAAACCTTATCTAAGGTTTTGTTTGCTCTCTTGATTTCATATTCAATTTTTATTTATTTATTTTTACCAATCATTTTATTGTTATGCTGATTATGGAGTCGAAATAAACTTATACTCATACTTATATACTTCCCATGAGCAGCGACGCGCTCGATCTGGGCCGCAACCAAGACGCGAGTGCAAAGTCTGAAGAGCAAACAATAAAAACAACCGAAGCACCGAAAGTAGGCGTTGCGTAATCGCCTTCACGGTTTAATAGCATTGAGGTGTACAGTATATCAGGGCAATGACATTTAATGTCATTGATCAGGGCTTCCCAAACTTCTGAGCTCGCGGCCCTTTTGAAATATGAAATTTGTTCGCGGCCCCTGTTCACGTTAAAATAATGCTAAACATTTCGAAATATTTTATTGACACAGTCAATTCTCAACTTTTGGTAGGCCTACTGGATAACAAAAACAAATTCACTTTTACTCCGATTAACACAACTTAATTATTCAGTGTGATGAGTGCGAATGTTTTGCAGCAAGTCCTGCCGTGGCTTAATGTTTGTCGATTGAAGGCCTCAATGAATTACGATGTCTGGCCACCGACGGCATGGTACTTATCAGGCTTTGTTACTCACTTTCAATGATACAATTTAGCACTCTTAGCACACTTAGCAAAGCGCCTTCGGGAACCGCTGGCATAACGATTAAAACCGACATAGTTGTGCAATCAAATCGGGTTTACGATCAGTATAGCCAGCGTTTCCCAAACTGTGTTCCGCGAGCGTCTTCCGAGTGTTCCGTGGAGAAGGAATCAAATATATCGCCATTATGATCTAGGGATCGTGAAGTTGTCGCCAAACTGACCGTTCAATATCGCGTTATCGTCGGCCTGAAGCGGACTAACTAAAGGTGGATGCGTGGTTTTGTTTGTTTCGTTGTTTTCCGCTAACATTATTAGCGGTTAATTGCTACAATTTGTTACGTGTAAGCCCCATACGCCAAAAGGGCGCTTAACGTAAAGTCCTTTATATTTATTGAATTGAAACCGATTTTTAGACAGACACCACATGCACTCTCGATGACAATATAGTCACTGAAGACAGCCGGGATGGTTTTAAATGTGTGCCTAGTGTAAAATCGGTAAATTTAAAGTTGAAAAAAACACAGCTATGGCCTTTGGAGACGTCCCGCTTTGAGGTCACAAAAATATGGTAATCCCAAGTTTACAGCAATCCTTTTGGTTTTGTTATAAGCAAACAAGTAGGTCTAAAAAATAAAAGCAAAAGGTCAACTCTTCTTCCTCCGTCTCTGCCTGGTTTTCCTATGAAATGTTGAAAAATTACTCATGTTCGCTAAATTCAATTCAGCAGATAAATAAACTGCAGCTCGCGAATTTGCAGCAAGTAGGCTACTTTTATCTCCATTAGAGGTAACATTGTAGGCAAACACTACGTGAAATAAATGATTGATTGATTGATTGATTGATGAAAAGTAAACGACATAGACGGGTAAAAAATTGTGAATTGGTGAATTTATTGATTGATATACACAGTATTTAAATTAGGAAACAATAAAACATTTATAATAAATGCAATATGTAAAATATTCAATCATATTTCAAGTATGTTTAACCGTAGTAGTATATATTTACGGTTTAACACAATTCTGTTAGTTTTCGCGGCGCATTTGGCAACTTTACACCGTTTTTCTTTATCAATTTTAGCTTTCCATTTTTTGGTGTTCCGTGAGGCGAGATAAAAAGTGTAAGTGTTCCGTGGCCGAAAAAGTTTGGGAAACGCTGGTATAGACATTGTTAATTTTTTCATTGCAATTTTTTTTTGACCCAGTTGATAGCAAGAAATCTTTACTACTCCTTTTTAACGGTTAATAATCTGTTTAGCATAGGGTCACCATATTTGAAAAAGCAAAATTCCGGACAGTCCATGACTATTTTCATGTCCTCGTATAAAAAATATGCGCACGGTACGAAATAACAATGTTCTGTATTAGCAGTGTGCACAGTACGATTGCAGATGCAGTAAAATTCCGGATTCCGGACATTTGAGCATTTTTTAAATTCTTCCCGGACGCAAAATTGAACCCGAAATTCCGGACATGTCCGGAATTTTCCGGACGGTATGGCAACCCTAGTTTAGCAGTTATTTTAAATAAAAACGTGTTTTTTATAAGTAAGTGGAAATCGCATTTCCTATTTTGAATATTTAAAATTCACGTAATTCCCCAATTTGTAAATTTGTTAGTAAAAAATGAAAATAAAAGACATCCCCCCAAAATAAGCCCCGGTGTTATTTTTCGAAAAAAAAATTGGAGACACTGTCTTATATTCTGGGAAACAGGGTAAGACTTGTTTTAATAATTGTATTTAGAATCAAGAGTCTGAAAAGATGCAAAGTACTTTGTGTAAAATTGGTGTTCTCCTTGCGGCCCCCAAAATTCGTTTCGCGTCCCCTAGTTTGGGAAGCCCTGCAGTATATAACTAGAGTGCGCATTGGCGGCGCTAGACGTTTGCGATTTCTAGCCGAATTAATGGTCGCGGCGGCCATCTTGGTAAGCGCGACTTTCTTCTCGCGGATGCAGTGAGGAGGTTGGATTTACCATGTCAACGGTGCAAAATGTAAGATAATTTGAAGAAATTCATCGTTCTGCGCGTTGTAGTGGATTTTCACGCTATTGTTGGTGGTTTAGCCATTAACTTGGAAATTGATTACACAAAACATGTATGCACAGAAGTTGGAGATTCAAGTTTTGAAAGCCACGGTACGGTGCCGAATTTGGTCTAGCTTGTGAAACACAAGTAAAATTTATATGTGATCGGTACAGATAATGGTGATAATATCATGACACCTTATATATGGAACCACGTTCTGTCCATGAAGTCGGCTGAAATGCATCGTTTTGCAAGATTGTTGAAATACCTTCTCCCCCGGGATAAATATGTAAATCCTATACCGTAATATACCGGTATCTCAATAGGTTATGATGTTTTGCTCAATTCTGATGTGTTTATACCTAATGCCATGCCAGTCTAGGTCTGAATCAATCAAATTGGAAACTGTTGAATAACTGTTAAAGGGTTACCAGAGATACAACATTCATCCATGTAAGAGCAAAATACCATTAAGCCATCTTACCTCTAATTTTAATTATTAGGTGAAAGTGTGAAGTGAATCGAGTCATTTGTTGCCGCCTACTCCTGAACTGTCTCCAGTTCCTTCAACTAAACTGCTTTTCTACTACTGTCAATAGACAGCACAAGGCACATTCATTTCATTTCTGCATTTTGCTTATTTGTCGTAAAATTTGTAATGCAATTAAAACTTATAAAAAGTATGCAAGTTCTCGTTCTACTTGAGATACACCGGGTATGCAAGAAACTAATTTCCGTAGAGTAGACAATATTAGAATAAGAAGAATCAAGTCTGAAACCATAAATTTAAAGTACTGTCCAAGTGTCACGAATCACGAAAGTTTTGAAAGTAATATAGAATCTTGAACTGCCAAATTAGACCGATGTTTTGAATTCATTAATACAGAATGTTCTAAATTAAGGTCCTGTTCAATAGTCAAATCTAGCAAACACAGAATTAAGTAGATATTCAATTTAGTAGGACATAAGATATCGAATTTGATTGATTTTTAATAGTGGTCTATTTTTGTCACGCTGCAAGTTGTGCGCCGTGACAGCTGAAATGCTCAAAATTGAAATTTATAGGGACGTGTAAAAAGAGAATTAAGCAAAAATGGGTCCCAGGCTCTAAACATGACTCTCCCGGGCTCTGCTGAAATTTCGGAATACAAGTGTCAAATTTGACATGGGTGGATATAAGCTACATTAAATGTATGCCTTACAAAATTGGTAGGAATTAGCAGAATAAAAGTGAAAAGTAAAGGCAAATGCTTTCAATTCAGGAAGATATTTTTTTGTGGGTGGGCCCATCAAAAATTCGCTTAAAAATCGCCGAAGGTACAAGTGAGAAGGACTGCAGCAAAAGTTCTTCACACCTAGTGGTGATTAAATTTCGTTTTTGTATTGATTTTATAACAGTGTTATTTTGAAGTAATATTTACAGTCGCTCTGACTTTTGCTTGGGGACCTTCAGCTTTTTCCTGGCAGCCTCCAGTTGTTCTGTTTTTATTTCCAATTTTTTAAAAAACCTGTGAAGACTTGTACTGCAGCTGTAAGAATGGTCATGATAGGGGAAATATATTTCTGTTCACAAGTCTCAACTTCATTTGGAATATCAGCTTCAACGGTGAAGTACGGCAAGCTTGGGGCTTTCGTGAAGTGGTGAACTGAAATGTAAAACGATACAGGTGTTTTAGAGATTTTCAAACATACTGCAAAAGGTGTTAGGTAGTAAAAAATAACGCAGACCTTTTGACTTACGCGTGGCGTAGAAACTTCAAAGTCGGCAAATTGCAAAACCACGAAATTGCTTTCAAATATGCGATGGTTGAGTCAAGGTTCATTTTAAGTCCGAAATGTGGTTTTAAAACTTTAAAGACATTTATAGTTTAAAAGAATCGTTTAGCGGCCGTTGCTAAAAACAATTTCATGGAGCTATATATTTACAGTACTTTGTTATGATCTTGTCTGAGACGCATTACTCATTTTTTGCTGAATATCCTCACGAATTATGCAGGTGATGTAGCACTAGGAAATCAAGTGAGGTGCAACGGTACGACTTAACCGGAATACCGGTAGGCAGTGTTCCCTCTAAAGTGTGCGCGTGTGCGCGCGCACACAGCTTTCAGAGGCTGCGCACACGCATAGATGTACTGCGCACAGACGTACTTCGAGGTAATGTAACAATGTGCTCGGTTGGCAGGTTGAGAAAGTTTGTTGTTGGCCCACTTATTACCCGGTTAGAACGCCAAAATTTCTTCATTGGTTTTTGCACAAATATTAGTCATTTCCAAAAAAGTGCGCACACACCAAAATTTCTGCGCACACTTACTACAAATAATTAGAGGGAACATTGCCGGTAGGTGCTCGCCACTGATACAGTCTAGTAATTCTGTAATAATTAGTTCAGAAGATCCAATGTGCTGCAAAGACACACAAATAGGTTCGAAGTTCACGATGCAAACGAAGAGACTTTATTAAAATTGTGTAAAATCCACGCTTAGCAGATAAAATAAGAGCGACAAAATACGGTCCTTACTCAGCGACAGCAAGAGCAAAGAAGAAAGAAAGACACTGCCAATCCGAAGCTGTTCACATATGCAGTGGTGGTTGGAGTTGAGTAACTGAATACAACTATTGAGCGAATTAGGGCTCAGACTCCAGGATAGGATAGGATTTACATATTTATCCCGGGGGAGAGGAAAGGCGATAAGACGGCTTATCTATATGGCGAACCACGGCCTCTCGTCCGGTTACCATTCCAAGTCGGGTATGGGATTAGTTTTACTGTATTGTTTGTTTTTGTAAGCATGGACTCCACACACCAATGCATATGCAATAACTAGACAAGAAATAAAAATAAAATAGTAAACAATAAAAAATAGTACAACTCCAGTCCCGCCACAAAGGGAAGGCGATCGTACTATTTTAGTCGCGTTACTTATGCGCGCGCGAAACAAACTTCCTATGCCTACAAAATGTAAATTGATTACGAAAACTGGTTTATCCAACACAGCAGCGTAAGTGGCGCACGAAAACATTTCAGTCTAAACGCGTAAAATTTCACTGTCTTGGAGGGAAATGACGTAAATGGTAACATATGGTCGGCTCGAGGTATGAATACTAGTAATTTTAACATATATAGGAACAGGAATGTATAATGGTGGTAGTCGTGCTAGGAAGTTTCAGGAAAATTTTAGGTCGGCGCATTGTCGTCAGGCCCGCAAGGTATATTCGATAGTTGTCGTTCGTTAAGACTCTTTCGTTGGGTCATGCGTAATTCAAAATCATTGAGCTTCATTAAGTGTCGCTCCAGCTAATATGCCTTTTATGCTCTCGCGTTAGATATTGTCATTTTGCATTCAGCTCACTTTGGGCGAATATTTTAAACATGCCAATTACGGCAGTTAGCTTTCAGAACCTATGATAACCTTAAATTTTTTTACAGATATTTGCTATATAGCTAAGTATATAATATCGTCACCAAACCATTCTAGAAGCAAACATGAAATTCGTCAAAATAATTTTCTTCATCTCTCTTATCTGTGCCTCTTATGCAAAGATAAAAGTACCCGGTAAGATAAGTTTTGAATGTAATTAATTGTTAGTAATTGCTACACCGGTTTGCAGATAATTTTTTGTTTACGCCCACCACTGGCGGTGCTAGAGGGCTAGAATGCTTATAACAAATCATTTCAAATGTTTTTTACATTCAATCAGTGGTCTGACGACATTTTTAGATCTTGTCGCAAAATGTTCTTCATTTATTTAACTGCAAAATACTTCGTTTTATATTTGACAGCTGAAGCCTGCGTTTCCAAAATCGTGAATGGGAAACTCGTTCAAGTTGGAGATTGCGAGGTAAAATTTAAATTGCTATTTTTTCTCAAGCGTTTTCTCATCCAATTCTAAATAAGGCCCCGGGGAGCCACAAACTGATACTACTAATTAGACCTAGAGGAACGGAAGCTTCCCGGTTTGGCATTGCTCTATTTTACACCCTGTGCTAGGTGTAGGCATTTGGAACGGAAATTTTCTTGGGTCCAACGGTCGAACTACCTCAGCATCGATCCAAAAACTTTAAAAGCTCTCTATATTCGCTCGATGATACTTGGCTGACCTGCTTTGAACCAGAGCAACTAATATAATCTGATACGTGTTATAATTACTTTACTAATCATCTGCATTTTGTATTTATTTCACAGAAAAACGATGGATCCGGTAAGTTCTTTCTACTCTATGATATATCTTGGGTTAAAAAATATTTATTCACCTTGCCCCAAGCATATGACGGATCTGTAATTCATAAAATTGGCTTTTAAGCCAGATAACGTATCCAGTGGTTACAGTTTTCCAAAAGAAACTTTTTATTTTCATTCCGAATTAGGCTCAGAACAAGCAGCCATTATTTGATGAAACGCCACTCCCAGTAATTTTTCTGGCATTGCATTTTAATTTATTACACTCTGGGTGTGGCGGTGGCATTGTGCCTGTAAGTTTTAACTTTGGAAAGAAATTTTGGCAAAACTTATTCATAACGATTTTTGTGACTAAACTTATATATCAGGATTTACTTAAAACTTTGCAAAAGATATTTTTAACGACGCTTTTATATAGTGTTGTCATATTATGGCGGGCAAAGTTACTTATGGTCGTAAGAGAAAAAACTGTGGACATTATAACGTGACAAAACTGATATAAAATGCCTTGTCCTATACACACAAAATAAATTAATTCAATTTTTTTTACAGATATTGCCAGACTGATCAAGAAGAGTCGTGATGAAAAAGAAAAAGCTGAAAGTAATTCATATTTTTGTTTTATGATTTGACTTTATATGCCACTCCCGTCAAAGCGTTAGGAATGGATTTGTATGGCGCGTTGGTTTAAAAATAGATTTAATTTACCTAATATTACGTGGACTCAGCGCCGGATTAACCATTAAACAATATAAGCACGTGCTTAGGGCACCAAGCAAAGAGGGGCACCACAGAAAATTTAGTGCAGAATTTTATATAGTTTATCGGTGTTTATTAAAATATTACGAGTTAACCAGACGACTCAAACTCAATATGGTCGCTTTTTTTTGTCTTCGAGTATCATATTAACCTTCTTCAATTAACAATAAAAACTGAAACTTTTTTTTTGGACACGAAATGGGCCTATGAGTCGTTTTCTTAAATTGTTGTTGTTTTTTCTTCTTAGTATATTCTCCTTGTTGCTGCATTTTTGTTTTAATTTTTTTTTTCAACAATTGACCAATGAACTATTTACACTATGTGGCGGTTCCACGATCGCATTTCAACGATCTAGTGGTCAGCGAAGTCGGGAGTTTTTCGAGTTTTTCTTAGCTATTCCAACTGGGGTTGGGATCCCAAGATTCGAACCTTTTTTCCAACGCTTTGTGCGTTTATTTTAGTAAAAACACTCCTCTGTTTTTAAGCGTCGGCATGCGACAGTAGTGACGAAACGCAGAGCCCAATTAACGCCGCGCAATTCAGTTTTTTTTTAGCTAGGTGCCGAAATACCAAGTTAGACGGACTTGGTTGGTATTTGACGATGGCACTAAGCTTGCTCACGCTGCAAGTGTTTAAATTACTCAATATAGCAATTTGTAATAAAATGAGTGTCGCAAGAAAGGTAACATAAGTAAAAACACGGCAGAAACGTATTTCCTTGCCCATCACACATTGTCTTGTTTGATTTCAAGTAATATCTGTCACAAAAGAATATAATTTGAAGCGACATTAAACGCGAGATGCGCAAAATACAACGGTAATTCTCGCGAATTAACTTTAAAAAACTGAAGGCTTTATAAATCTTCTTTAAAGAGCGCCACCCATGCAACATGATAATAGTCTGACTAGAACGGTAAACTCTCGTTGTTTATTAAATTTGAAGTAAGTAAACTCACGATATTTCGATCACTTTTGGGTTTTCTCCGACTTGCAGTCCGCGAGACCTCCTCAAAGGTTTTTGCGGTCCTTCAACCCAGCAACCTTGAACCACCCTGAGGTAGACTACCAGGTACCGGTAAAATTTCAAACTACAGTTGCGACCTTTATTCTTTGGTATTTCGATTCACGTTGAGACTGGGGACATGTAAACGGCCGATATATATATCGGCTATATATGACAGTTAAAAAACCTAAAAATGTTCGTAAACGTTGTTTTATTTACTGTTGATTGGTTTTTAATGGATAATACACTTTTGTCATTTATTGTTTTTATAATTAAATTACACATGAGGGGGCACCAACGTCTTCAGTGCTTAGGGCACTAAAGGGGCTTAATCCGCCCCTGCGTGGACTCCTGGTATTAAGTATTGAACTCCTGGTAGTTGCTGCGTGATTAACCCCACCACTAGTCGGTTACGACTCCGTCAACCACCATACATCTGAACCTGCATTCTGTCCGCCGTTCTTAGTTCGTCTCATCGGCTTTTCTCTCTATGAAATTTAATAGAATTCAAGAGGAAGCCGAATTGAACTAACAAACGACAAACGTTTCTTCCCAGATTCTTTGACGTCATTCCTGAAATCGCTGTCATTTTTTTAACATAAAATATTCAATGACTACAATGTTGTTTCAGATAAGTGTGGCTTCACATACAAAGCAAAATGCTACCGAGCAGTTGTGTATGCTGCATGGAACGTCACCTTCAACGTGGCCGAACTAATCTGCAAATCGATAAACGGCAAACTCGCAAATATTTACGACCTCAAGCATTGCCAGCTGCTGCTCCCTTATGTACGTTCACTGATTCCTGCTGGTTACATATTTACATATATTCACATCTGGGCTGGGATGGAGTATAAGGTCACAACTGAAAGTTTTCTCTTGACTCATTTTACCGTGGTCAAAAAATTGGCCTAAAACAGTTTCAAAAATATTATCTTATAGAGGCGACCCCATTTCTAAAATTATGACGTATGGTAAGCACTCGTGACTATGAATACGACATACATGAAAAAAATATTCATTAAAATTATTCAAACCACTAAAAACTAATCACAGTAAAATCTCATTCTTGTGCACTTGAAACATAGCCTTTTTAAAGTGTGACTTGCCATATTTTCAACGCCTAAATAGAATGCAAGCAATAGAATAATAAAAAAAAAGCAAAAATACAACGCCGGACACTCGACGACCCCCGAAATATTCAAGGCGATCAAACTTGTGGTCGCGACCCACACTTTGGCGATCACTGAAATGGACATGTTAACGATGCCTTATGATTCATTAAACGATTGAATAATTAGAAAAAGCTCTAAATATAGAATATAATTTTCGATATATTGTGACGTCATATCCAAGTCGTCCTATCTAGTAATTTTTAATTTTCATGCCTTTTATAATTTATGATATTTTTGGTAATTTCTGGTTTTCATCCATTTTTATATAGTTCCTTACACATAAGCGGTCGGTCCCATGTAGCGTTACCCACCATACTTCGCCTATGATGACTTTACTATGAAGACCATTACTACAAGCAAATATTTCACTCTTCATCTAATATGTTGATGAAGCATACTATGAAGCATATTACTACAAGCAGAGACTTTCATTTTTCATCTAATATGTCAGTTGCATTAACATTCCAAACAATAGATTTTAAATTTGTTCAATTGTTACAGAACAAGCAGCTTTTGCTGTCCAATGGAACCCTAATCACTATAGCAACTGAAGTGTGGTATCCTAGTACTCCGGTATCTGATGTATCTCGCACAAACGTTGCTATTCTTGTCGATAAAGATCCAGAGGATATAGTACAGGGAATGTCCAATAATCAACCATGGTTTACAACCAACGGTGCCATCTGTGAAATATAAAACCAGCTCAAAACCTGACAGAACTTCGTTGACGGACTAAATGATATAAAAGTCAAAAACAATTAAACAACTCGAATTTTAGTATTTTTATTATATTATTTCAATTTCATTGAATTTTTTGTTCGCTTATTTTTGGCCGTTGATAATAAAATCTATCAGTTCCTAAAAAATGAGAGACATTCTTGGCCCATGGATAATCCAAACTTAAATTACCCTTCAGTTCTACTATATTGCATATTTTTACAATGTCATGCCTACAGGCATTAAAACCTGATTTATTTATGACAGGAGACTGAATTACTTGTTTATGAAAGTTAAATTTCTGATACTTTTATTTGTGCATTCTTATTCCACAGTCTGTGGCCTGTGTTTAGATTTAAACAAAATGGAAGGCCACACATTTATTTTATTAAAGAAATTTTGCTTCTACTTATTATTATTCACCTATAATATTTATTTTATCATTATTAACCGTAAAACCCATGCCTTGAATTGGTCGCCTTGTCTATTGAAACTTCTTGCTCAGTTAATAAATCCATAGCTGTCTCTATGTGATTTCTGTATATAACCTAACATGATAATAAGTATTGATTCATCACTTGTGGTTTTTCTTTGTTGTTATTTTATGGGAATCAAACGCAAAAGGAAATGAACCGTAAAATAAAAATTGCTCATACGTGGAAATGACCACGCCCACTATGTCTCTGGTTAGGGAACCACTGTGAAGTGACTCACATGCCTTCTTCTATTCCTGTGTAGTGGTGCGATGAATCTCTCGTCTGTGTTCAGTGAAGAGTGGTGGTGTGAAACATGGGCGAGTCCTAAATTCAACACGGAGAAAATTCTCTCGAATTTGGGATATGAACTAAATACATCCCGATAAGCGGTAAAATCAAGTACATTTTACGGTAACTTAGGGATTAGAATTTCAAGAAATATACCGTATTTTTTAAATACCTTATCAAAAAAGTATTCACCCGTCTAACAAAATAAGATCTGAGCAAGGCAGTTAATAAGATTCGTAATCAAAGGAGTTTACTCTCAGAGAATATACCATTATTAATGCCAGTGCTACTATAACGTGAGAACCACGTATCCATATACGACTTTGAAAATGTTTTAAAACCAGGACAATTACAGGCCTAAGTCCTATAGCCAGGGCTGCCATCGATATTAACCCCACAATAAGGACAACAGGGAAACATAATCATAAGATAACAAAGAACGAAATGTAATGAACCAAAATGTATTCATGCCAGAGCGACCAGGGTCCAATCATACTTTTCATTAGCAAAGATTTGCTACATAAGTTCTTTAGTCCTAAAAACTATTAGTTCCATCTCACTTCTAAGTTGTATTTTGCTTCTAGATAAACGAACTGATCTTGGCTATTGTGGCAATAATTTGCTGTTGTTGTTGTCGCTAATGCGCCTAGCAATCAATAAGATTCTAATATAATTTCTGTCAAATCAATCATTTCAATTGCCCAACCCGAGCGCCCGGAATAAGAACCTCTACCCTTGAAATAAAACAGAAATAAGGACACATGTCAAAAGAGGATTTTATTGATTGATATAAAAAAAATCCATTGCTGAAAAAAGCCTATTACGCCTATATCGTCATAGGTGAAAAATCGTAAAATTATGCACCTTTCAAACATTACTCACATGTCTTTCCGCCCAAGTGGCACGAGATTTTATTGATTGATATTAAAAAAGTTCTCAAACTCTACACAATACATATGGAGTCGATGGGTACAAAATTTTAAAATTATGTGTAATCCATTGCTAAAAAAAGCATTTTTCGCCTATATCGTCATAGGTGAAAAATTGTAGAATTATGCACTTTTCAAATATTACTCACATGTCTTTCCGCCCAAGTGGCACGAGATTTCATTGATTGATACTAAAAAAATTCTTAAACACCACACAATACAATTGGAGTCGATGGGTACAAAATTTCAAAATTATGCGTAATCCATTGCTGAAAAAAGCCTATTTGAGATATATTGTCATAGGCGAAAAATCGTAAAATTATGCACTTTTCAAACATTACTCACATGTCTTTCCGCCCAAGTGGCACGAGATTTTATTGATTGATATTAAAAAAGTTCCTAAACTCTACACAATACATATAAAGTCGATGGGTACAAAATTTTAAAATTATGTGTAATCCATTGCTGAAAAAAGCATTTTTCGCCTATATCGTCATAGGTGAAAAATCGTAAAATTATGCACTTTTCAAACATTACTCACATGTCTTTCCGCCCAAGTGGCACGAGATTTCATTGATTGATACTAAAAAAGTTCTTAAACTCTACACAATACATATGAAGTCGATGGGTACAAAATTTTAAAATTATGCGTAATCCATTGCTGAAAAAAGTCTATTTCGCATAAATTGTCATAGGTGAAAAATCGTAAAATTATGCACTTTTCAAACATTACTCACATGTCTTTCCGCCCAAGTGGCACGAGATTTTATTGATTGATATTAAAAAAGTTTTTAAACTCTACACAATACATATGAAGTCGATGGGTACAAAATTTTAAAATTATGTGTAATCCATTGCTGAAAAAAGCATTTTTCGCCTATATCGTCATAGGTGAAAAATCGTAAAATTATGCACTTTTCAAACATTACTCACATGTCTTTCCGCCCAAGTGGCACGAAATTTTATTGATTGATATTAAAAAAGTTCTTAAACTCTACACAATACATATAGAGTCGATGGGTACAAAATTTTAAAATTATGTGTAATCCATTGCTGAAAAAAGCATTTTTCGCCTATATCGTCATAGGTGAAAAATCGTAAAATTATGCACTTTTCAAACATTACTCACATGTCTTTCCGCCCAAGTGGCATGAGATTTTATTGATTGATATTAAAAAAGTTCTTAAACTCTACACAATACATATTAAGTCGATGGGTTCAAAATTTTAAAATTATGTGTAATTCATTGCTGAAAAAAGCATTTTTCGCCTATATCGTCATAGGTGAAAAATCGTAAAATTATGCACTTTTCAAACATTACTCACATGTCTTTCCGCCCAAGTGGCACGAGATTTCATTGATTGATACTAAAAAAGTTCCTAAACTCTACACAATACATATAAAGTCGATGAGTACAAAATTTTAAAATTATGTGTAATCCATTGCTGAAAAAAGCATTTTTCGCCTATATCGTCATAGGTGAAAAATCGTAAAATTATGCACTTTTCAAACATTACTCACATGTCTTTCCGCCCAAGTGGCACGAGATTTCATTGATTGATACTAAAAAAGTTCTTAAACTCTACACAATACATATGAAGTCGATGGGTACAAAATTTTAAAATTATGCGTAATCCATTGCTGAAAAAAGCCTATTTCGCATATAATTGTCATAGGTGAAAAATCGTAAAATTATGCACTTTTCAAACATTACTCACATGTCTTTCCGCCCAAGTGGCACGAGATTTTATTGATTGATATTAAAAAAGTTTTTAAACTCTACACAATACATATGAAGTCGATGGGTACAAAATTTTAAAATTATGTGTAATCCATTGCTGAAAAAAGCATTTTTCGCCTATATCGTCATAGGTGAAAAATCGTAAAATTATGCACTTTTCAAACATTACTCACATGTCTTTCCGCCCAAGTGGCACGAGATTTTATTGATTGATATTAAAAAAGTTCTTAAACTCTACACAATACATATAGAGTCGATGGGTACAAAATTTTAAAATTATGTGTAATCCATTGCTGAAAAAAGCTTATTTCGCCTATATCGTCATAGGTGAAAAATCGTAAAATTATGCACTTTTCAAACATTACTCACATGTCTTTCCGCCCAAGTGGCACGAGATTTTATTGATTGATATTAAAAAAGTTCTTAAACTCTACACAATACATATGAAGTCGATGGTACAAAATTTTAAAATTATGTGTAATCCATTGCTGAAAAAAGCATTTTTCGCCTATATCGTCATAGGTGAAAAATCGTAAAATTATGCACTTTTCAAACATTACTCACATGTCTTTCCGCCCAAGTGGCACGAGATTTTATTGATTGATATTAAAAAAGTTCTTAAACTCTACACAATACATATGAAGTCGATGGGTACAAAATTTTAAAATTATGCGTAATCCATTGCTGAAAAAAGCATTTTCGCATATATCGTCATAGGTGAAAAATCGTAAAATTATGCACTTTTCAAACATTACTCACATGTCTTTCCGCCCAAGTGGCACGAGATTTTATTGATTGATATTAAAAAAGTTCTTAAACTCTACACAATACATATGAAGTCGATGGGTACAAAATTTTAAAATTATGTGTAATCCATTGCTGAAAAAAGCATTTTTCGCCTATATCGTCATAGGTGAAAAATCGTAAAATTATGCACTTTTCAAACATTACTCACATGTCTTTCCGCCCAAGTGGCATGAGATTTTATTGATTGATATTAAAAAAGTTCTTAAACTCTACACAATACATATGAAGTCGATGGGTACAAAATTTTAAAATTATGTGTAATCCATTGCTGAAAAAAGCATTTTTCGCCTATATCGTCATAGGTGAAAAATCGTAAAATTATGCACTTTTCAAACATTACTCACATGTCTTTCCGCCCAAGTGGCATGAGATTTTATTGATTGATATTAAAAAAGTTCTTAAACTCTACACAATACATATGAAGTCGATGGGTACAAAATTTTAAAATTATGTGTAATCCATTGCTGAAAAAAGCATTTTCGCCTATATCGTCATAGGTGAAAAATCGTAAAATTATGCACTTTTCAAACATTACTCACATGTCTTTCCGCCCAAGTGGCACGAAATTTTATTGATTGATATTAAAAAAATTCTTAAACTCTACACAATACATATGGAGTCGATGGGTACAAAATTTTAAAATTATGTGTAATCCATTGCTGAAAAAAGCATTTTTCGCCTATATCGTCATAGGTGAAAAATCGTAAAATTATGCACTTTTCAAACATTACTCACATGTCTTTCCGCCCAAGTGGCATGAGATTTTATTGATTGATATTAAAAAAGTTCTTAAACTCTACACAATACATATGAAGTCGATGGGT